GTTCCATCATCCTAGTCTGTTCAACCTCCAAGTCCATCTTCTTGGCAGTGATAGAAAGATAATGTTATGGATTGGATTTGGCTAGGCCTGATTCTGTTATCATGTAAATATCCTCCATTCTGTGATCTGATGTAATTATCCTGTGTTGTAAATCCTAACCTCTATGATACTAATGAGGTTGGATTAGTGGCAGTTATGTTAATGAGACAGAATGCAACCTACAGGATTAGGTTGTATTTTGAGTCAATCTTTTTTGAAATATAAAAGAGATTAAAGAAGTAAGCAGAGCTCAGAGGGCTCTCCTACCACCAAGAAAGAACATCTGGGAATGGAGTACATAAATCCTTTGGGCCCAGGGTCCCTGCACTGGGAACCTCCTAGACCCGGGAGAAGATTGATAGCAAGGACCTTCCCTTAGAGGTAACATGAGAGAAAGCCTTCTCCTAGATCTAACCCCCTGAATTTGGACTTACGGCCTCCAAAACTAGGAGAAAATACTAGTAAATTTTATTTGTCAAAACCATCCACTTGTGGTATTTCTGTGATAGCAGCACTAGAGGACTAAGACAGATAGATAGGCAGCTGTCAAGTCAACTCTGAAGGCAACCTTATGTACAACAGAACAAAGCACTGCCTGATCCTGCCTCCTTCTCCTGTCCCCAGCATATCTGAGTCTTTGTTGAAGCTACCGTGCCAATCTATCTCCCTCAGCCTCACTGCTCCTCTACTTCACCAAACATGATGTCCTTCTCCAGAGATTGATCACTCCTGATGACATGTCCAAAGCAAATGAGTCTGGCCTCTATTGTGATCCATAAGGTTTCCATTGACTGCTTTTCAGAAGTAGAGCACTAGGCCTTACTTAGTCTGAAAGCTCTTCTAAAACCTGTCCACCCTGCTAGTATTTGAAAATACCTCTGGCATAGCTTCCAGCATCATAGGAACACTAAAGTCACCAAAGTATGACAAACTTATATAGATGACTGATGATTGGCAGCTACAAACACATTCATGAGGCTGTTTTTAATGAAACAGAAAGATGTTTACAACATGTTGCTAAGTGAAAAAGGATCTGGAATCACTACATGAGGCTAAAATGAAAAAGAGTACAAAATTTTTCCAAAACACAGCATGCAGAAAAGAAAGGAAACCAGGAAGAAGGGAATGGGGGAAGGAAGATAAACCAAGAGGCTGCCAAAGGCAGTGTAAGCGGGGGAGCTGGAACTGGGGACAGTGGGGGAAAATCGGCAGGACCCAATTCTACTTACACTACTGTTTGGTCAGGGTCTTGGCTAGCTTCCCTGGATGGTCGGAGAGGGGCCACTGTCCACTACTCTTCGAGAAGTGGCAAGAGGTCTACGGGACTCAGGGACTCTTGTCAGTTAGAGTCCCCTACCATCCCTGACCCTTTGTGGAAGTGAAAGCCATGATGCCCTCTAATTCTGACAGCCAGCCAGTGAGCCTACGCTGAGGGACAGGACTGAGGTCAGATGGGCTGCAGTGGCTGACAGAGTGAGCCAGGAACCTGGGCAGTGCTCAGAATGGCCACAGAGGGAGCCTGTATTGGTGTCAGCCTCCCCTGCTACCTCCCAGTCTCCCTGTCAGTGGTGAAACTGAGGTATGGACTGTTGGATCACTATGCCTTACTCTGGACCACAAAAAAAGAAATTACAGTGACAACAAGGGCCAAGGTTGGATGGTACCCACTCTCAGCACTTCCACGAGGTGCCCAGTGCAATAGCAGGTAAGGGCTGGAGGATGTTTTTAATGAACTAGAAAGAAGGTCACATTGGTCCTACTTGAATCCATAGGAGCACTGGATCACACCAAGAAAGGTACAGCTATGCTCTGTACTCAGAGGTTTCTGCAAATATCTCCTAAATTGGAGGTCAATTTAATTTTTACTAATTCAAAGCCCAAAGATAGAAGGAATGTTGTTTTTAATGTCCAGAAATGAATTCTAGAAGTTTCCCAAAACTCAAATCACAGACCTGGAGCCTAAATTTAGATTGTCCTTGGGGGGTCACCGGATCACTCTGGGGCAGGGTCAGCCAGCAGCTGCTCAAGATAAACTTTGCTTTTCTGCCGATTCAGCCCTTTCTCTCAGACAATTAATGAAATCTTGTTCCACTTCCCATGGGAACACAAAACAATAGCAGTAAAAGAGCAGGTGGCCTTGGCCAGAGCTCTGGCCTGAGAGCCTAAATCCAGGGCTTCACATCCCTGCCCTGCTCTGGTCCCCCTGACTATGGCCTGCAGGCCTTCTCAGCCTTGTTGCTCCAACCACAGACTTCCTTCTGCCCCTTGGACACCAAGCACCTCCCCACTGCTGGGCTCTTGCACTGGTTGTTTCTTCAGTTCTACCAGAAATGAGATCTTTGCTGAAATACCCGCTCTAGAGACCCTCAGGATAGGGCACATCCGTCCCACTCCTGAACTGATCTTGCTGACTCATTTCATTTGTTGGCAGCTTACCAGCAGGAAATTTCTGAAATGGGTCTTCTAATCAGAGACAGTAGGTCAGGAACTCCTTTACCAGCGGGTACACAGCCCTTCCTGGGCCTGGGTTGGGTCACTTTGAGGCCACCTGGATCTGGGGTAGATTTGTGGAGACTGTTTTAGACCTACAGTGGCCAGGCCCTGAAGATAGCCCAGAAGTGATTAGGGTGTAGATCAGACAGTTACAGGTGAAGCCTAAGACTTCTCTACAAGGCCCAGAAGATGCTGTGAATCTGTCCCCAAAGAGCCATGGGCTTGCTGGGGCCATCATAGCACCCCAGGCTTCAGAGGGAGCCTGGACCAAAGTGAAGGAGAGAAAGAGGGCAGGTAGGCTGCAGCCCCTCAGCTAGCTAGAGGGGCTCAGGTGGTGAGAAGTCAGCATGGCTCTGCAGCTCCCCACAGGCAGACTTCCTGCCTTAGACAGGTACATGGGGATCTCCATCATGCTGTGGTTCATTCTCCGGAGTTGTCCTGACTACTGGTGGGGGCAAACTGACCAACTATTCCAGTTCAGGCTCCTGGGAGCATCACTGGGGGATGGGACAAAAGGCATCTGGAGGCAGTTACCTTGGCAACAAAACAGAAGCTGAGCAGGACTCAGCTCAAGGTGCTGTAGGCAAATAAGGCCAATCTGAGAGCCCAAGGTAGCATGGAGTGTGTCTGTATGGGCTTGTGGATCCCACCAGGCTGGCCAGTCCGAATGCATGCAGATCACAGCAGGCTGAGCTTTTCCTGGGGGTTAGCACTTTGTCTACAGACAGTGGGAGCCACAGAAGGCTTTAGGCAGGGTGTGGCCCTGAAGAGAGTTCTACCAGGAGGATAGGCCAGCAACCCTGAGGAGAATGGCCCGAGCAGGTAAGAGTGGAGGCCCTAGAAACTGTTCTGGTGAGACCGCAGAGGACAAGGTAGGATCTCTGGATTCAATGGAGGAGGGTCTGTTTGGAGAAGGAGGTGGTCCTCAGGTCTACAGCAGATGGAAAGCAGTGCAAGATGGTGCTTGGGAAGAGGCAGTGGTTCACTGGTTTGGGAGGGTGGGGTGAGGTTACGAGGAGGAGCAGTGGACTCCCCTCACTCCAGCTGACACCCGGAGAACCTGTCCCCCCTTATGCTGGACAAGCCAGCTTTAGTGACTTTAATCTCCAAGAGCCATCTGACAAGAAAGGACCCAGGTCCAGGTCTAGGAGGAGAGAGCTGTCCGAACTCCATTTCTGTGGTTTGCCTCAACGCTGTACCTTCTCCATGGAGGGACCTGACCAGCTCCATGGGCCAGAAAAACGAACAGGCGCTCCCGCAGCAGCCTCAGTGCCTTGGCCAGGAGTCCAGACCTTGTTGGAAACAAAGGGACTGACTGGGAATGGGCATCCGGCTGCTGTGCCCACATGGGCTGTGAGTGGTGGAGTCTGGTGCCCCCACCCGAGCCTCAGGGGGCGCTAAACGTCCACCCCAGTGGACCTTTCGAGAAACTCCTGGGCCATTGTGCAAAAGAATGCCCGGAAATCCCGCGCCTCCTGCCTCTAACGAGGATGGGGGCTCTTCCTCCTGGCCAGGAAACTCCAACTTGGCTTCCGGAAGGCCGTCTGGGGGCTGGGGCACCAGGGGCACCACTGCTTCGGGTGGGAGGGTCCCTTGTGTCTCTCCTCTCCGAGGGTCAACGAAGGCCTCTGGGAGGACCAATGGGGAATACTGAGGACTTCCTGATGGCCCCTTACTGAGTGGGACCTCAAAACATGGGGGATGGGCTCCATCACAGGAAGAGGAGCAACTGAGCAAAGGTTTCCAGGTCTGGGAAGCCCCATGCAGTGAGGACCTGCCCTCCCGACCACATTTGGTGCTGGGACTCAGGTCCTGGGCAGTCAGTAGGTTGGGTGAGTAATGGTGCTTGGCAGGACCCCAGATCAGGAGGCTAGGGCCACGGGACTGTCTGGCGCCCCTGCCCGGCACAGCTTGGAGTGCAGTACCAGGACCCTGGTGACTGGCTTCCTGAGGAACAGGTAGAGCGATGTTGCCCTCACAGCGGCCTCTGTACCACAGGCAGCAGTGAGAGGGGAACGCACCCAAAGGCTTTGGCCAAACCTTGGGAGAAACACCGTACGTAGCCGGAAGCTAAGGCTTGGCCGGGGGTGGGGTGGGGGCGAGAGTGGTGGCCCAGGTCCAGGGTCTGCTGTTCCTAAAGTGGCACGAGACTTTCAGGGAGGTGGCCCTCAGAGCCTGCTTGGACAGCGGAGGGGTGGGGGCCAGGGTACGCCCGGGGAGTGGCTCTAATGCCCCCTACTACCCTCCTCTCCGCGCCATCGTTTCTCGAATTAAAGCGTCTAGGGGCGTGCCATTGGCTGTGGAGACGGCCCTTGCACGGATTGGCTGCTTGAGGCAGGGCCAAGGGCAAAGCCCACCCCCAGAACCTTCAAATGGGGAACCCCAACCGGCGCCTGCAGACGCGAGGCGGGGCGGCAGGGCCGCTGGACCGGGGCGGATAGTGGGCACGCAGAGGCCCGAGAGCCGTCGGGCGCACGTCTCTCCAGCCATGGGGTCTGCAGCGCTGGAGATTCTGGGTCTGGTGCTGTGCCTGGTGGGCTGGGTGGGCCTGATCCTGGCGTGCGGGCTACCCATGTGGCAGGTGACCGCCTTCCTAGACCACAACATCGTGACGGCGCAGACCACCTGGAAGGGGCTGTGGATGTCGTGCGTGGTGCAGAGTACGGGGCACATGCAGTGCAAAGTCTACGACTCCGTTCTGGCGCTCACGGCTGAAGTCCAGGCTGCACGCGCACTCACCGTGGGGGCAGTGCTGCTGGCCCTGGTGGCGCTCTTCGTGACCCTAGCGGGCGCACAGTGCACTACCTGCGTAGCCCCGGGCCCAGCCAAGGCGCGCGTGGCGCTCACCGGCGGCGCCCTCTACGCGCTCTGCGGGTTGCTGGCGCTCATACCGCTCTGCTGGTTCGCCAACATCGTGGTGCGTGAGTTCTACGACCCGGCTGTGCCCATGTCCAAGAAGTACGAGCTGGGCGCCGCTCTGTACATCGGCTGGGCCTCGGCGGCGCTGCTCATGTGCGGTGGTGGCCTGATATGCTGCGGTGCCTGGGCCTGTGCCGGCCGCCCTGACCTCAGCTTCCCCGTCAAGTACTCGGCGCCCCGGCGCCCTGCGGCAGGGGGCGACTATGACAAGAAAAACTACGTCTGAGGCCGCCGGCCCCAAGGACCCTGCTGAGCACCCCGTAAGGACTGGGTTTCCTTTCTCTGCGCAGCACTGGCTCCCAGGTGGGTGGGGCTCGGGTGCGAGAAACCCGAGGGCACCAGACTGAAGATGCTGCTTCCTCCCCAGCGGTTGCTGACGACGCTGCCAAACCCTGTCAAGGGATATGCCCAGCAGCCTTTACTCCATCAGTGGGGCCTGAGGCAGGGTGACCATGAGACTTGACCTGGGCCTCTGGCCTCAGCCCAGCAGCTCCCCAGCGAGCCTTGTGGGCCTGGAGTGCTTTCTCCCCCACAACTCAAGTGGGGATAGAATCTGCTTAGTAAATGGTTTCAACACCCTTTACCTAGTGTCCTGTCCTTTGTTCATGATCTGTGCTGCCCTCCTACACTCACCCCTCCCTGAGCTTGCCCCTGGTGCCTGGAGTCTGATGACCTCATCTCTGGCCCTCCACTGCATCGCCACCTTCCTGCTTACATGCAGGTAGGAAGCATGGGGCTTCCCACAGCTACTTCTTGCTGGCGGACCAGCTGCTGCTGAGTAGATAGAAGTGGGAAGGGCTGGCATCCGTCCCACTCCCAGTTGGCCTCAGGGCTCTAAGAAATGCCTGGGTCACATCCAGCAGCTGGAGTCTTCCCAGCGGCCAGACTCCTTGTGGTGGGGGTGGGCTTAACTCAGAGAGTTGACAGCGGCCTCTGAACACAATGGTTGGATCCTGGGAGTCAGTGAAGCCAAAGGGGGTAAGAACTCTACCGGAGCCAGGGAGGAATGTGAGTCTACATCCAAGGTGTTCTTGCTGCTGGGCTGAGGAGCCAGATCTGTAGGTTGCCAGTGGGGTATCATCATTTTGGGGGGCACAGCTGAATCCAAAAGGCATCGGCATAGCCTCTGGACTATCAAATGGTCAGGTGAGTGCATGAGGACTCTGTCAGCTGGACCCATGCCAACCCCAACTTGTGTGTGGGAAATGCCAAGAGGTCAGGAGTGGAGCTGGCCTCAAATCTACCAACTCCACCGCCACTGAAGCTGCTCTCCTACAGGGTCATGCTGAAGCTCAGCTCTGGGGTATAGGGAGACTGTTCCCCTCCACCTCCCACCCCCCCGTACACTCCCCCTCCAGGCCACCCTCTCTGGGCTCTTCCTGTACACGTTCTCTGTACCCACATAAAGCCTGATGACACCACCACTTGGTTCATAGGGGTTCTCCCTCCAGGTCCCTTGCTTTTCCAGGCAGTGGCCTTCACAGACCACCTCAACCCTGGTGTGGTGGGACCTATATGTCCCCTCACCTCTGGATCCCCCTCAACACTCCATCCCAAGGCTCCCGACTGGGCAAGTCCTTGCTGCTGAGAACACTGACCTCAGAATTGTGGCCCTGTCCTGCTCGAACCTTCTGTGACCAGGATGTGGGTGGTGCTAACTGCAAGGCCTCGGGAGGTAGGGGTATAGTACCTACTGGACTGTCCATGACCCTCTTGACCAGCTGGACTCACCCTAGCTTGCCCCTTGCTGTCCCCACCCCCATCCTGCTGAAGTGTAGAGAAACCAGACATGTCTACAGGCTCATGCTGAGGGACACACAGTCATTCCAGGGAACAGTATGGTGGGAGGAAGGCTGTGGGGAGGCCAGCTCAGGTCAGCCTGGGGCAGGGAGTAACTGGGGAGGAAGTAGAGGGAGGGACAATAGAGCTCATCCTTGCTGGGCACTGCTAGGCAGGGGTACTGAGGGTCTAGCTTCTGGAATGACCCAAGAGTCTGAGGACAGGGTTGTTGTTGTTCAGTGCATCAAGTCAATTCCAACCCATAGCGAGCCTGTATAGGGTTTCCGAGGAGCAGCTGGTGAACTTGAACCGCCGAACTTGCAATTCAAATGACTTTGCAGTCTGATGCATTAACCCACAGTGCCACACCAGGACAGAGTAGGGGGTTTGTTTTGGGGATGGAGCAGGAGAGCCCTAGTCCTTGTGTGTTTGCTGTCTGGAATAGGAGTTGTATCGCACTGAGCCCCTAGAGGCCAGCACAAACCTTCTGCCTGCCAGACCTCTGGCCCGGTGCCAGGTGTACGAGATAAATATAAAATAACATTTTATTTCATGAAAAGCAAACTTGCCCTGCATCTAAAACTCATAATTTAGTCTAAATAAAAGCAGCGAATATAAATAAGGAGGAGGAAGAGGTCATTTCTGAAGGAAGCAGACCCTGAAAAAGAAGGGGTATGTGTGAAAAATTTCAATCACTTTTTATGTCAGCCCCAGATCAGCTCATGAAGTACCCAGTCCTGCCCTCTACCAGGCTGGGTGGCTACCCCAGCTTTGAGGCTGATGCTGAGTCACCTCAACCCCTCATGGGGGCAAGGGTGGGTGCTATGGGTAGAGTGCCACTCCAGGACCTCCCAGGGTACTGGGCCCCCTGAAAGGCATCCCACCCAGGACCAGGCTACCACCCAGTGGAGAAACCCCAACACCCACAACTCCAGGGTAGCGCCCCCTTTTCAACTGCTGACTTGCCATCTGCTTGTCCCTTGGCCCCAAGTGTGCGTTCACAGCCCCCCTGCCAGCTCTCGGGTCTGCAGAGCCTCATACACTCTCCTCCTCTTGCCTGGAGTACTTTATCTGCCCCAAACCCCATACATTGCTCCTTGTCCCACCTGGTCCCTGTTTCGCTGAGCAGGCTGCAGGGCTTGTGGGCTTTGGATGCAGCTCTGCTGCAGGAATGCCTCCACATGTCACTTTTGGTTTCGGTTGTAAGCTGACGCTCAACACAACCTCTGCCTCCACCCCAAGGAACAGGGGCTAGGCCAGGCCCCAGCCAGGCAAAGACTGGACTGGACACTCCTTGAGAAGCCCAGGTGGCACCGTGGGTTGGGTGCTGGGCTGGCTGCTAACCACAAGGTCAGCAGTTCAAACCTACCAGCTACTCTGTGGGAGAAAGAAGAGGCTGGCTGCTCCTGAAAAGATTTAGTCTTGGAAAGATGGAGTCCTGGGGGGTTCTGAATCAGAGCTGACTCGATGGCAGTGGGTTTGATTTGTTTGGACACTCCTCGTCTAATGAGGAAGGAACAGGCTGGGATGGCTAAGTGCTGCCCAGGTCCACGCAGCTGAGGGGCTCAGGGACCTGACTATAGACCCCAAGGCCTGATTCAGAGTCCCTTCCAAGTCCCTGGGGTCTCCACGCCCTTCTTAGTAGTGTTCACCCAGCCCTGATGGGGAGGGGGACCTGCCCCCACAGCTTCTAGCTCAACATGGACAGGAGTGGGGCTGACATCAGCACCACCCTGCCTGACAGAGCTGTCCATCACTGTACCCTGGAGCTGTGTCCACACTAGCCTGCTTCCTGGGTCCCCAAGAAATAGGGGGTGTGGGAGGCATCATGCACTCACCATGAAGCCTCTGTAAATGAGCACTGGGGGAGGTGGCCCCAGAACTGACACCAGTAGCCCTCATCAGAGCTGCTATCTAACAGCCCACCACACAGAGGCCTGGTTTGCATCTGGCACCTCTGACCCTACAGGTGACCCTGAAGGAAAGGAGGGCTCTTGATGGCCTCTGCTCTCACAGTGCCAGCAAGTCTGTGTGTCTCACGTTGCCTGCAAGCAGACGCCTAGTCCAAGGCGCAGCAGGAGGGGGTAAAATGCCAGCTCTTTCTGAAGGAAATCACTAATGAAATTAGTTTCCTCAAAAATGCCCCATTATGTCACTATGGGCAGCCAGGGACAAGATGGTCTTGGGAAAATCTCCCGGGAGGAGCAAGAACGGCCCCACATGGACTCGGCCAGTAATTCCCTCCCCACCGACAACTCACTCTCAGGAGAGGAGAGAAACAAGTGCGTCCAGGAACTTGCTCCGATCCTCTGCTTTCAGCTCAATTACTGAAGTAATGAAAGAAAAACATCTTGTAAGCTGGGAGGGTGGCCGTGTGGGGGAGAGTGCGTAGGAGTGAATGTGCAGCGAGAACTATTCTGGACATGTGACGTGACTCCCTCTCACTGACCGTCTCCAGAGGGAGCCCCCCTTCTGACACCTTCAGAAGTTACCAGGCTGCCCCGCCTGCAGTCTTGGGGATTGTTGGTGTTAAGTGATGTGGAGTCAGTTCTGACTCCTATCGACCTTGTATATGTATACCAAGGAGTGGCTGGTGGGCTTGAATCGTCGACCTTGTGGTTGGCAGTCCAGTGCTGATCCCACAGTGCCACACCAGTGACCAGTCTTGTGGATTGGAGGCTGAATTTCTGCCCCTCACCACATTCAGAGCTCAGAGACAGATCTGTGGGAGGACAGGCTGGCTCGCTGGGTACTCACACACCAACTGCTGGAGGCCAACTCGGGGATACAACAGCTCAGAATGTCACTGATCTGGACAGAGATGGATGGCCCTTCCCACCCTGTGTCAGGATTGGGCTCCGGGGCTCCTCACTAGTATAAAGAGACCTGGGCATGCTGCCACATCTCTGAGGGCCATCACATGAGCAGGGCGAACTTGAAACGAGGGGCTTATGTGGTCCCACTGCCATTATTAGTGCCATGACCGCAGCCCCAGGAACTCCAGGCTCATCCTCTGCAGAAGCCCTGGTGGTGCAGTGGTTAAAGTGTTTGGCTGCTAACCACAAGATGGGGGTTTAAACCCTCCAACCCCTCCTCGGGTGGCAGATGAGGTTCGCCACTGTCCTACAGGGCCGCTGAGCTGGAATGGACTCAACAGTAGTGGATATGATTTGGCAGTGGGTCTGCAGATCTGGGAGATCATGGGATTGTCCAGACATGTTAACAGAGGGGCTTGAAAAGACTGGATCAAATGGGGGTGGGGTAGGCCCAGGCAGGAGGGTACGACTCACTAAGGCTCCTCAGGGAGCACTGGCCTTGGAGGGGCAGGTGAGGGCAATGTGGCCACCATAGTGGTGCGTGTCTGTGGAGGGGGTGGGAGAGGGAGCTCTTACCAGACAGGTCAAAGTGGTTGTGCAACGTCCGGGAGCTGGTGCTCTCTGCAGCCTTCTCAAATGCCCTCCCGAAGAAGCTGCCAGCATGAGACAGACACATCAGTCCACCAGTACCAACCCTTCCTTCCATGCTCAACCTCCACAACTGACCCAAGAATGGGCCCAAAGTCCTCCAGTCCCCATCAACTCTTGCCCTGCTCTCTGGGTCCTGCCCTCCGAGAGCTCCACCACCACTGTCTCCCTGCGCCCCGATAGGCCCTTCTTAGTCCTGGCCCAGGATGGGCTGGAGGTCCTGCCTGAGACTGCACAAGAGCCAGAACCCCTGGCATATCATTGCCTACACAGACCATCCTCAGTATTTTGAGGCCATCTGTTCCTGTTCAGAGCTGGGGGCAGAGCAGGCACTTCATCCTAAATTCATCTATACCTACACTATGCTGGGATGAGGTTGGCTAAGGGGCCACATGTTCACATCAACAAAAACCTGGACTACTTGGAGTCCAATGGACAACTCTTCATTTAGATGACCCCACTGTCCTCTCCCTTGCACCTTCAGAAGAACGAGGCTCTGAGGATCTGCTTTGGGATCCGAGAGAAACCCTTTGATGAGCAGACCAAGGGCAGGTCACAGACCCCTCAGCAGGCTCCCGCCTGGCCTCTGGTACCCTGGCTACTGCAGCTGGCTCCCACAGCACCACAAAGGCCACATTTGTGGCCACTCTGTCTCTGTGCCTGGTGCTTACCCTCTCCCTTGTTCCTGCTGGGAGCATGCCTGCCTACCCTTTCTGCCAACACCTGCCCCCTTAACCCCACAGGCTGGACCCAAACACGGCCACCTCTGGCATCCTGCTCAGATGGTGAACCAAGGCCGGGCTCGCTGCTGAAGCCACTTATGAAGGTTTGTGAACTGTTGCAAAGTTTAATTCCAGTTAAGAAGGAAGGGACCGAGGGTCAACCCACAGCTCTCACAGCCCTCGCCAACAAGCGTGCTCACTTCTTTCTGTCTGAGTCATCAGTCTCCGGGGGAATGCCCACTACGGTCACCGTGCCTTGTTCCACACTCAGGGGGGCAGCCATAACCAAGGGCAGCAGCTTGCAACGCCGGTTCTTGGTCTGAGGAGGCAAAGGAAAATTGTCAGTCTGACACCCGCCCAGAACTTCACCCTGAGAGCCTGCAGCACCAAGCCCCTCTCTCACGGGCATGCTGGCAGATGCCACAATGTGGCTAGTCCTCACCCAGAGTCCCCCTTTCCTTGGTAACTTTTTATATCATTCTTGGATAAGGCACTTCTGGGTGTATTTCTTAAATGACCTACAGGCGTAAATCTTTAAGAGTCCCACCCAAAACCACTGCCTACTCATAGAGACCTACTCATGGAGACCCCATCTTGGGTTTCTGAGACTGTAAATCTTCACAGGAAGACAGCCTTATTTTCTGTAGCATTCGCTGGTAGGGTTCTAGACACTTCTCATCTTACTTAGAAAGGACAATGATGCTTGTCGTTAGAGGCCACTGAGTCAATCCCGATTCATGGTAACCCCATGCACAACAGAACAAAATACTGCCTGGTGCTGTGTTATCCCCATGATCGATTGTGGATTGAACCATTCTGATCCATAGGGTTTCATGGGCTGTTTTTCACAATATTGCCAGGCCTTTCTTCCTAGTCTGTCTTAAACTGAAGTTTTGTGGAATCCTGTTAAGCAGCACAGCCACGCACAAGCTACCGTGACAGACTGCATATGAGGTGGCTGTGCATGAGGCACATTGCTGGGACTCGAACCTGGTTATGGATGATGAAACATATGATGAGACACATGTTTCCTTTGTATAGGCCTTTTGTTTCTTGGTTAGATTTATTCCTAAGCATTTCATCTTTGAGGTGGCTAATGCAAATAGTATTGCTTTTCTAACTTCCCTTTCATAGTTCTCTTTGTTAGTGTAAAGGACCAGACGGATTTTTTGTGTGCTGATCTTGCCACTTTTCTGAATCTTACAATTAGGTCCAAATAATTTTCTTGCTGAGTGTTTGGGATTTTCTACATTAGCATCTGCAAATAGAGTTTTACGTCTACTTTGCCAATTCGGATGCTTTTCATTTCCCTTTCTTGTCTTCTAGCTCTGGTTAAGACTTCCAACACAATAATGAACAGGAGAGGTGATACAGCGCATCCTTGTCTGGTTCTTCTTTGTAAAGGGAATGCCTTTAGTCTCTCTCCATTAATGGTTCCAGACACGCCTGATAGAAGAATCATTGTTAACAGGCCATGACCACACATTTGGCAGCTCTGTGTCTATCACTGTACCCCACCTCCAACACCAGGCCCAGCACTCTCTGTAGTTGCCTTTCTCCTTGCCCATGACTAACTAAGCCCGACCTTGCTGCTTGATTTCTGAGATCAGACCAGCTCAGGAGCATCCAGGGCAGTATGGCCATAGGCTAGCAGAGGCCTTTCTGATGACTGTGTTGCAGAGACTTCTCCACGAGGCTGCAGCCCATCCATATGCACCATAGACTTCATTCCGTGTGACCATTCCTCCTAGTACTGGTCCACTTGGGGTGGCCCCAGCTTCTATATGACAGGCCCTCCAGCAGCTCAGGGGTCACACGCAGGGCAGTCCCTTACACCAAGGAACACATACCATTGCCACAAGAAATAATTCCATGGGAAAAACATAAGGCAATCTTCTCCCATAAATGATTCACAACCTCAGAAACTCTAGGGAGTTGTTTTACTCTGTCCTTTAAGCTCACTATGAATCAGAGTCAACTAGACAATAGTGGGTGGCAGTGGATTGTGAGCTACAGATTCCTAATGACAGACTGAAGAAAAAGCAAGGAGTCTACGTCCACCCTACAGCTGGCAGATGGCCATCACTAGCACTAGAGGGGAACTCACCGAACACACAAAAGACTTGAGCAGCTGTCTGCTGAGGAGGCTCAGGGATACTGGCTTGGAGAAGAGCAAGACATCTGGAGAGCCCTGGGAGAGAGGACACAGAGATGGTCGGAGAGGAATGGCATCAAGGGAGGCCCAGCACCTGTGAGTGTGTGTGAGGGGAGCCTGACCTCCATGAGGGAGCAGTAGAGGAAAGGCCCCTGGGAGATGACCAGGTTGGTGCACAGGCAACTGGCGATGATCTGCTGGGTGGCTCGGAGCTGCTTCTTGGCGAGTTCTAGGCCGTGGTAGAGCTTGTCTAGGTTACTTCTGCAACAAGAAGACACATGTGGTATTGGCTTGGCTTGTCAGAGTTTCTTGGTATAATGTAACCAAGTCATTGGTGGAATGTGTGGTTCCTGAATGAGGAAGGTGGTTCTGGAAAATGTTTTTCTTGGAAAACATTTCTCTCCCTCCAAAGTCCCTTTAACACAAAAGGAAGATGCACAAAAAATTCACAGACCCTTAGTGAAGGGTCCTGGTGTGGCACTGTAGGATAAACACTGGACTGCTAACCATTCATTTGGTGATTCACACTTACCAGGCACTCCCTGGTATATGGTTACTATGAGTTAGAATTGACTCAATGGCACTTAACAATAGCAGCAGTGATGGAAGAAGAGGTGAGAATGGGTGCTGCTACCTATCAGGAGAGAGAGGAGCCTACACAGCAGAGCAAAGGAAGGTGCCCAGTAGACAGCAATGTCTTCCAGTCAGCGGGTGTGTCGAGGCCCCCAGCTCAGCCTGGCTTCCACAGCTCCTTGTTAGATAAGCAAGACCACCGGAACTTGTGTAGTGCCTGTAGCCTTGACAAAGTGAGCCTAGAGAAAACCGAGATGATCCTGAGAATGAATGCAAACTTAATATGAACTCTAGTTAGTATCTTCACAAAAGTTTGGGAAACTTACATCCTAAACCAACAACAAGATGCTATGAGGATGCTATGAAAAAGGAACACCAGAAAATATGAAGCCTTTGTAGAAATTATAATGATACAAAAAGTTAAAAATGTAACTCCAAGACTAGGGAATGGAGTCAGGAGAAGCTTCTTTCTTCTTCATCAACAAGAAGACAAAGATGTGGGAAATGTAAAGAAAGAACTGAGTCCTGCTCCAGGAAGCCTAGAAAGAAAGAATAAGCAACACTGATGTACATGCGTGGGACCTAACCAAGACATACAATGAAAACACACCCAAGCTGAAAGACTGAAAGGGCTCACCTAAGAAGCCAGCGTAAACCAGGAGCTAGACCCACCTATAAATACATCATGAAGAAATGCAGGAACATTGAGGATAAATAAAACACGAGGCCCTACAAGCTTCTTGGGTGGATGGTCATTTACCAAGAAGCAAGAATCACAACGGCTCAGACTTTTCATGGGTAGCACTGACTGCTATAATACAGTTGTTATTAAGTGCTGTTGAGTCGGTTCCAATCTACAGCGACCCTAAATAGGGTTTCCAAGGAGTAGCTGGTAAGCTTGAACCACCTACCTTTTGGTTCAAACCAACCTTGTAGTCCAGTGCATTAACCCACAGCACCACATCCAGACTCCAACCACACCAGGGTTCTGCTAGAATACAGTAGAGGGATAAAATACCCATCACCAGAAAATGAGCTTCAACCCTGCCCTCTATACAGAGTAAAACCAGCAATAAGAGGAGGGTAAAATAAAGACACTGTCAGATATACACCAATGAGTTCAACCACAACAATGACCCAGGCCTGGGCAAGGTTTGGTTCTGTTCTACATGGGGGCACTATGAATTGAAACTGGTTTGATGGCAACTAACAACAACAACCATAACAAAAGGGGCAGTGAGAATAAGGGATTGTGGTAAAGTGTAGTTTAGTCCTTAGGCAGTCATGTCTGGCCCATCAGGACTCCTTTCTATATTGGATCCTTCACTGAGGTGCAACTCCTGAGAAGGGAACCAAAACTGAGCAGGATAGGAATAAAGAAAAGGAAAGAGTCCAACAAAACTTGGATTTGACTTGACGTTCTAATTAGGGCAGTAAGGAAAGAAAATGGAATAAAAGGCATTCCAATTGGAAAGGAAAAAGCGAACATAGTCTCACTTTGTAGATTACATCATCTTATTCACAAAAAGGAGCTCTGGTAGCACAGTGGTTATGAATTGAGCTACTAACCTCAAGGTCAGCAGTTTGAAACTACCAGCAGTTCCGTGGGAAAAAGATGAGGCTTTCTGCTCCCGTAAAGATCTGCAGCTTCGGAAACCCTGTGCAGGGTCACTAAGAGTCGGAACCGACTCCCTGGTACTTAACAACAACAATTCACAGAAAAACCCTAAGGAATCCACTCGAAATCTACTAGCGCTAATGAACAAGTTCATCAAGGTTGCTGGATACAAGATCACCATACAAAATCGGAGAATTGATGTGTCTAAATTATAGTGTTGGTGAAGAATACTGAATATAACACGATGTGTCAGAAGAGCCAACACATCTGTCTGAGAATACAGAGTATACCATGGAGTGCCAAAGAGCCAACACATCTGTCTGGGAAGACTATTGAGTATACCATGGGTACCAGAAGAGCTAATGCATCTGTCTGGGAAGAAGAGCACCCAGAATGCTGTCTTTCTCCTGATAAGAGGCCACCACTCATCTGTCACTGTGCCGTACTGTGGTGCTGGCTTGCGGGTTGATGTGATGCTGGAAGTTAGGCCACCTGTATTTCAAATATGGTAATCAGGTTTCAGTGGGGCTTCCAGTCTAAGACAGAAAGTAGATTACTGGAGACGGAGACCTGGTGGCACAGTGGATGAAGCGTTGGGCTGCTAACCCACAAGGTCAGCAGTTAAATTCCAACAGTCCCTTTGCAGGTGAAAGATGGGGTTGTCAGCTCCCGTAAAGAATGACAGTCTTGAAAAACCAAATGAAGCAGTTCTGCTCTGTCCTACAGGGTCACTCACTATGACTCGGAATTAATTCAGTCGCAGCGGGTATGGCGTGAGGGATGGAAGTTTGGGGGTTGATGGCTACGGAGTGCAGGATTGTTTATTAGGTAATAAAAGCATGCTAAAGGTAGACTGCAGGATGGTTACACAACTCCATGAATATACTAAAAGCTATTGTACTGTACACTTTAAAGCAGGTAAACTGCATGACATACAAGCTGTATCCCAGTAACATGTGAGCTGTTTTGTTTTGTTTTAATTACAGTGGGGAAGCAGGACTGGGAAACCCCAGAAGGCAGGCTGCCATTTTTTTTTTTTACTACTGCAGAAAAACAGAAGCTAGAAAAAGCTGCTGAATAAGGCTGCCTTCCTAAAAGTTAAGGAAATGAAATCCACATTAAAATGAACAACACAAAAGCACCAAGGTCGAATCCCACTCAACATTACTGGAAGGGAGAAGTAAATTAGCAGCTGAGTAACATCCCTACTGATAAGGAAAGTGCAGTGACAGACATGCTGAAGAGATGGAAACCGGAACATTCTATCGTGCAACAAGCTGCAAGACATGACAGAAATAATACAAACTATCTCAGGAAATAGGAAAGAAGAGTCAGAAATAAAAAAGGAAGCCACTGAGTGATGAAGACTAAAACTAGAATAAATACAACAAATGATGTCTTAAGAGATCTAGGGGGTGAGAAAGAAGAAACATTTGAAAACCAAAAAGGAAAAAAAAAAAGAAGAGAGAGAACAAGATTCGAGAGCAAAGTGACAAATATTGAAGACAGGCAGAAAAGTGTGTCAGGCCCACCTTGGTAGTAGTCCATTTTATACTGAGCAAGTGTAGGGTGGCACAAAGCCACTCACATGTTGTTGTGGTCCCCACAGCCCAAGGATCAGGCAGGACAGAGAGGGTTGCAGACCACGGCTCTACCCACTACCTGGAGAGACTGTCCAATGCCTGGGTGAAGTTGTCAGTCCCAGTGTTGACCTTCTCAATGCTCTCCATCAGTGACATCGTGGCAAAGACCACATCACTGGCCAGGAACTTATGCTTGAACCCGAAGTGAATGCTGAAAGTCTGCACACGCATGTCCTTCATCCTGTCCCAGGGAAGAAGCCAATGCTGCTGTCACCCTATGGTGTGTGGCATGTCTCCTACCGATGGCCCTGCAGTGGCTCTCATCACCAGACTGGCAGACACACCGACAGGGCCACTCACTACACTGATGCTCCCACCATGACTGGCATGGTAAGACAGGCTCAGGCACCAGCCCTCAAGTTCATAAGGTGGAGGGGTGGTGTAGTTACTGTCCCTGGTGCTGGGATGTGTAGAAACATTTTCCTCTCAAGTCAGCTGCCTCTTAGGAACAAACAAGAGGGACAGCCACCACCTGTTATGTCATCTAGGGTTTGCAACTGAGGAGGAGAGATACCAGTCAACTCTGACCCTGTACAGGGCGCACAGGTGTGCCAATCAGCAGGACACAGCTGTGTCTGGTTCTGAGCAGGTGTGAGGGTGGGAGATGCCACCCCATCTTTAATGAGGGATTGGTGAGATGACCACCCCAAGGGCCGAACTTCAACCTTGTGATTTAAGAATTCTAAACCCTGTGGGGATTTCCTGAACTCCTATTTTTAACCAAAGGAGGGGGTTAAGTGTTGGTGGTTCAAGCTCACCAGTAGTTCCATGGGAGAACAATGAGGCAGTCTGCTCTGGTAAAGACGGACAGCCTCGGGAACTCTGTCTCATAGGGTCGCTATGAGTGTGGATGGACTCCACGGTAGTGGGAGAGGAACTTCAGCTCTTCCAAAAGAACTCAAAACGTAGGAAGTGGGCTAGCATAGGTCAAGTTCATTTTCATCATGTTTCTTTATTGCATTATTTTAGGACTGTGATGCTTACCCAAATTTATTTGCAGATTCTTCAATCATTTCTCGCAAATTCTCCTTCAAGGAAACATCCATGGACTGAAACTTCTGCTTTACTTGTTTCAACGGAAGTCTACAAAGACAGCAATCCCCACAAGAGTGAGCTGACTTCAGGACAAAATCATTAAGCCTTTCACTGGACTGAAAGACCCCACATGAATGGATCACAACTGTAGGTGGACAACTATACCAAAGCAAGGGCTATCTATTTGCTCTTAGAGAACATTCTAGGCCACCACACATTTGTCAGTTTGTTATGTGGTGGCTTGTGTTGTTGTGATGCTAGAAGTTATGCCACTTATATTTTAAATACCAGCAGGGTCACTCATGGTGGACAGGTTTCAGCTGAGCTTCCAGACTAAGACTGACAAAGAAAAAGGAGAGGCAGACGACTTTGGAATGGTTGTTGTTGTTATGTGTCATGGAGTCAGTTCTGACTCATAGCGACCCTATGCACAACAGAACAAAACACTACCCAGGCCTGCGCCATCCTCACAAATGTTAACTTGAACTCATTACTGCTGCCAACGTGCCAATCCATCTCATTCATTGGCGTTCTTCCTCTCTTTCTCCAACCCTCCACTTTATCAAACTTGATATCCTTCTCCAGGGACTCGTCCCTCCTCACAATATGTCTGAAGTATGAGTGACAACGTCTGGCCATCCTGGCTTCCAAGGAACATTGTGGCTACATGTACTTCTTCCAACACAAATTATTCTTTTGGCAGTCCATGGTACTTTTAATATTCTCCTCCAACACCATAACTCAAATGCATCAATTCTTCTATGGTCTTCCTTATTCACTGTCCAACTTACCCATGCATATGAGGCTATTGAAAATACCACGGCTTGGGTCAGGTGCACCTTAGTTCTCAAAATCACATCTTTGCTCGTCAAGACTTTAAAAAGGTCTTGTGCAGCAGATTTGCCTAATGCAAATGCATCATTTGATTTCTTGACTGCTGTTTCCGTGAGTGTTGATAGTTGATCTGAGCAAAATGAAATCTTTGACAACTTCAGCCTTTTCTCCATTGATAAGGATATTGTTTATTGGTCCAGTGGTGAGGATTTTTGTTTTCTTTACGTTTGAGATGCAACCCATACTGAAGGTTGTGGTCTTTGATCTTCATCAGTATTTTAAATCCTCTTCACTTTCAGCCAGCAAGATCATCCGCATATCACATGAGTCTTTCTCTAATTCTGATCCACTTATTATCCAGCTTCTCAGATTATTTGCTCAGCATACAGATTAAATAAGTATGGTGAAAGAATACAACCCTGGCGGACACCTTTGCTAATTTTAAACCATTCGGTGTTCCCTTGTTCTGTTCAAACAACTGTTTCTTGGTCTATGTACAGGCTCCTCATGAGCACAATTAAGTGCTTCGAATACTCATACTTTGCAACGTATGAGTTATAGCTTGTCATGATCACATAGGATGTCATGATCACACAATCGAAAGCCTTTGCATAGTCAATATAGCACAAATAAACATCTTTCTGGTATTCTCTGTTTTCAGCATCCGTCAGCAGTGATATTCCTCATTCTGAGTCCTCTTCTGAAACTGGCTTGAAACTGTGGAAGTTCTCTGTCAAGTTGTCAAAGTGTTCGTTTTGCTTGGATCCACAATTAACACTCAAGGAAGTAGCAGTCCAGAAATCAGACAACATATTGCATTAGGCAAATATGCTGTACAAGACCTCTTTAAAGTATTCAAGGGCAAAGATGTGACTTTGAAGACTAAGGTACACTTGAGACTAAGGTGGTATTTTCAGTCACCTCATATGCATAGGAAAGTTGGACAATGAATAAGGAAAACTGGAATCAATGCATTTGAAATACAGGGCAGGGCTGGCAAAGAATATTGAATGTACCATGGATTGCTGGAAGAAACAAATCAGTTCTGGAAGAAGTGCAACCAGAATGCTCTTTAGATGCGAGGATGAGGAGACTTCACCTTTCACCTTTCATATGCTGTCAGGAGGGACCAGTTCCTGAAGAAGGACATCAGGCTTGGTAAATTAAAGAGTCAGTGAAAAAGAGGAAGATCCTAAGAGATGAATTGACACAGTGGCAGTAACAACGGCTCAGATATAACTACAATGTGAGGATGGCACTGGAACAGGCAATGTTTCATTCTGTGTGCATAGGGCTGGATGGCCCATGACAACAACAGTATTCTAGGATCCAGTGGTAAAGTACTTCAGGTGGAAACAGGCATCAGTTATAGTTTACAACCAATTTCATCACAACAAAACCCAGGGAGAAGGGGTGAACTTTTCCCTCTGGGGGCATTGGGCTAGGGAGAATCAATTACCCCATGTCCGCCAGGAACTCCTGGAGCCGCTTCTGGCCTTGCACAGACCAGATCTTGAACCTGGAGGCAGTGTAGCACGTATTGCAAAGGCTGTCGTAGAGAGACCAGTGCTGGTACAGGGCCAGATGGAGGCTGGGGCAGAGGTCAAGGAGCATACTGGCACACCCAGGCCCACCCAGGGCGGTGCACGGGACCACTGCAGTCCTACCCCTTGAGAATCCCTGGTGGATCGCCTGTGTGGCACCTGGCCATTTCTTGCTTCATCTGTGAAACCAGTCATCGTTAATGTAATGGGAGCACTCTAGCAGTATTTATTTCATTTGATCCAGACCAGAGCCTGGAAAGTGGCAGGTACGTATAAGCCCATCTGACATTTGGAGGTTCAGAGGCTGTGGGAGTCCATGGCAGCAACAAGGACAGTGGTCATGATCAGATGTCTGAGCCATGGGGCCTGACCTCAGCTCTGTGACTCCTTCTCTTCTGTCACTCTCTCCCACAGCCACCTGCTCCTGCCAGCACCTGGGTCAGGTGGCACCTCCCTGTCGGTCCCTCCCCTCAGGTGGGCCAGCCACCCAGCCTCTAGTACCTCCTCAGAGACTCACAGCCACCTGGAACCTAGCCTGCCCAAACCCACATCTGTTCCTCCTGGATGCCCTACCTCAGGACCAGGGCAGCTCAGTCATCATCCCCACTGCTGAAGCAGAGGACCCTGGTCATGCTCCTCACAGATCCTCACCCCACCTCCCACCCAGCAACCACAGAGACCTTTCAAAACATGTGAGCTGGATGTGGGTCATTCCCTGGTCTCCCCGATCTTGGGATCACTGGGTGTGAGGCTCTTGTTCTGGCCTCTGACCTTCAGGCCCTTCCTCAAGCTCACCTCTGATTGTGCTGCTCTTCCCTCCACTTCACAGGCCTGAGAATAGGCTTGAGATGTACCACCTACCGCCCAGTGCCTTCCAGAGCACTCCAGGCCCAATAGTGTGCCCAATGACCCTAGTGGTGCCCATGCTTTCCTCACAGAAATGTTGCAGTTTGTCATCATGTATTGGCCTGCTTCTTTCTTATCTCAATAGGTGCCTACCCTCCAAATGACTTGAGGCTGCCCGTGTGCACCCACCATAGGGAGCTCTTCTTATAGTAGGAGCTGGGAAGCAAGAGGCCTCTAGGACCTGGACTGCAGACCCGGTAGCTCCGTGCTTGGCTCCAGGACTCTCCTCTCCCCTCCCTAAAGCCTCTCATCCCACTGGCTCCCAGTTCTAAGCACACGGCAACCACAACCTCACAACCCACAATTGGCTCCCCACCTGGTGAGCAGCCAGCCACCCGTGTTCCTCAGGGTCAGGGCCCCGAGAAATGTGACAGTAAAGCCCATCTTCAACCAAGGGCAGGACTGCAAGGATACTCATACTCAAAGGTGATCCGCGTGCAGTCAACAGAGAGGGTGTGCTCCTCATCCTCATGCCGGTGGTTGTGCCGGGACACGTGGCGCTGAAGGATGCCAACGTCAGTCACATACTTCATTCTGGAAGAAATACAGCATGTTGGGCAGCTCTTACCTTGAAGCCTTGGGGCCCTGCCCACCACACACATGTATGCACACACACAGGCTCGGGCCCTAACCCACTACACACACACACACACACACACACACACACACACACTCGGGGCCCTAACTCACTACACAAACACACACACACACACACACACACACAAAGTCTAGGAACCCTGCTCACCACACACAGCACCTCAAGGCCCCACTCACTACACATAGACACACATGCACACACACAGCCTCGGGGGCCTGCCCATTACACACATATCTACACACACACACACACACACACACACACACACACACACACGGCATCCTGTGGCAAAACTAAGGAAGCTTCATAGCCTTTACTCAACCGCCTTGGGCGGGTCAGCCCTGACCCTCACCCTACTTCCAAGGCATTAGTGGCACTGTCGTCACTGTGGGGTGGGCATAGCCCCACCCTCCATTGAACAATCAAGAGAGACCCACAAAACCTCCCTGCCTTCAAGTGACTCACAGCAACCCTACAGGACACAACAGAACTGCTTCATAAGGTTTTTGAAGCTTTAAGTAAATCTTTATAGGAGTAGACAGACTCATCTTTGTCCCTGGAGCAGCTGGTGGGCTTGAACTGCTGACTCTGAGGTTAGCAGCCTAATGCTTCACCTTCAGTGCCACTATGGCTCCTTATCAAGTGAGATAGGCCCAGGTAATTGACAATAACCTGACTGGAGGGTGACGGAGCCCACAAGTGCTACAAGGAAAGGTGGCCTTCTGGAGAAGTGTCACTAGACCAGTCTCCAAGGGTACTTACTCACCTGAGGGACAACCATTTGCCAAAGCTTGTACCGAGTCCACAAACCCTGCTCTCTGTGCACACACTCTGATACCCCTGCAGAGACATGCCCAGGAAGCGGCCCCGGTCTGGGAGGTTCCAGGATGGGGCAGGAAGAGGCCACATCATCTGTCCTGGTGCTAAGTGTAAGTTGTGACTTGGTTCCCACAAACGGGTCTTGGGTGGAGGTCCCCATCAGAAGTGACTGGGCTGCCTGGTGAGGCAGTGGGAGGAGACCCTGGCAGGGCTGGAATAGGCCTGTGTGGCTCCCGTTCTTACAGATGAGGAGCAGCAGCAGCACCAAGAGCTGGTTTCACACAGCCCTCCTCCCTCCCTCAAGCCTTCTCTGGCTTCCCTTTTATCTTCAACATCCAGCCCAAACTCCTTCGCCAGACAGCAGGGCCCTTTTCCTGCTGGCTCTGGAGCTACTTTCCTAGCCTCACCGAAGAATTGGCACTAAAGGGACTCTTGTGGCTTTTTCCTCTCACCTCTGGCTCCACCTGGTGGACCCTTTGAGGGTGGAAGGGCATCCTCCCGACTACACTTCACCAGAAAGCACTGGCACTAGGCCCTCCTCCCAGGACTACCAAGCACATTGTCAGTATAGTGAGGGTGCCACATTGGGCTATACAGCACAGGCAATCACCGAGAGCCCACAGTGAGTGCATCCTTACTGGGTGATCTTGTCTTGAACCCATTGGTCCGTCAGTCCCACGATGGCCCACCTGGACAGAGAAGGGAAGCCATGAGTCAGCTGAGCAGCAAGAGCCCAAAGTAATGGCTGGCCAGATATCCACAGAACGTCCTGCCAGCATGCACATCAGCAGGGACTGGACACAGGCAGTCTCCCCTCTGAAGGTGGAGAGGTTCAGTGAGGTAACTCTGAGCTCCCAGCACAGGGCCACCCCTTACAAAGATGGGGCACTTTTAGAACAAGAGGCTGCCAACCTAGCTCTAGCTGTCACCACCCAGCTACCTCCGCTGTAACAGAACTACTCCTTGGCCCTCAGGCACTCATCACTCTGGGTTTTGGTTCCCTGTCGCTCTCAGCCTGAGTCCTGCCTAGGCTGCACCTCCAGTCCCAGAATGTGACGAGAGGACCAGGGCAGGACTGCACTTACACACTTGTACTGAGGTGTTGGCTGAGCCTGGGCTGGCCTGACAATTCTCCACCCACTGCTTTGAACCAAGCAGACCCTTGCTATGTCCACTTACTTATTCTAATGTCTTATGTCAGGAACACAGAATGACAGACTTTAAACCAAACCCACTGCCATTGAGGCAATTCTGACACATATTGACCGTAGAGTAGAGTAGAACAGGAATGGACAGCTTTGTCTTCCTCCCGGGGAAGGGCTGGTGGATTTGAACCACCAACCTTGTGGTTAGCAGCTCAATGTTTAACCCATTATGCTGGTCTCTTTAAAGTCTTCAAAGGTCACTGACCAATTATTTTCTCAATAAGAAGACAAGGAGCCAGGTTGGAACCTGACCTCCCCAAGACGACTGTGATGGTTAAGGTTGTGCATTAACTTGGCTGGACCAGGATTCTCAGTGGTTTGGCAGTCACCACGTCATCATCTCCATGAGGTCTGCTGAGTAGTTAATCCATTGAAAGGGTTTCCTTGGGGTGTGCCACCTGTTTCTTATATATCTGGGCACTCTGGCAGAGCTCTCTTGCTTTTTGTTGGATCTGGCTCATCATGCAACCTCCAGTTCTTTGGAGATAAGCCATGTTATTTGTTGATCCTGGGAGTCCTTAACCTCTGTAGCTGGTGAGTCTGACCTGCTGATCTTGGCTTCATCTCCTCTGCAGCTATGTGAGTCAGGAGAAGACTCCAGCCTGATGTCTGACCACAGACTTGGGATTTGCCTCTACAACCTTGTTAGTCATGGTCTTGAGATGAATCTGTCTCTATGTTGGTGTTGTTATGTGCCATTGAGTTGGTTCTTATTCAAAGTGACCCTGTATAGCGTTTCCAAGGAGCGGCTGGTGAGCTTGAACCACCCACCTTGCAGTTCAAACTGACCTTGCAGTCCAGCACATTAACCCGAACACCATACTCAGCTCAGACAATGATGATCAACCCATGACAAGCGTGACTCGTGTCACCTGGTGTGTTCCCTGATGGTTTCTGAGCTGAGAATGGTCGTTCCCCGAGTGTGAACACAGTGGGTACACAGTGGGACAAAAAAGACACTTAAAACATGTCTTCCACCATGATCTCTTCTGTGGGCAGTCAGAAGGGGCCGGGCCTTAGCAGGCTGCTAGCTCACAAAACCCAGAGCAGAGGGCAGGTGGTGGCAGAGCCAGGTCCTGTGTTCTTGTCTCCCAGTTCCAGATTGCTGGCAGGCAAGTAGACATGGAGCAGATGCTACTGCCATTTATGGCAAATCCTTGAGTGGATGCCTTATTTATATCTCATTTTTGTGTGGTTACCCAAATTTAGCAAGCAGGGAAGCAGCATCAGAGTCCCAGCTCCCGACTCATCACATACCCTCTATGTGGCATGACCTAGCATCATACCATCAGGAAAAAACTGGGGCTGCAAGCATTCCCAGAACGGGGCAATGTCAGGAGTGCCTGGTAAGGATGAGGATGCCTTCCTCCAGGACCCTGTCCCTGCTGCAGGGCAGAGCTGCCTAGAGGAGGAAGCTTCAAGGGGGCACTAATCTCTACTGACACTAGCAAGGGGCTACTACATACCACAGCATGTCATTCAGATCCTTGGACATCATCCACGCCAAGTCGAACATCACCATGGCCGACTGTAAGAAAACACAGAAGCCTGAGACCAGGGACAGCCACACCTGCAGAGGGGCACACACTAGGGAACTGCTGAGTCAGAACACTATGTGGGACCAAGTACTCACTTGCCCAAGGAGAGTAAGATTGAGTAACTCTGTGCCCTCCCTACAGAAAGGGTAGCAGCAGGACTGGGATGGTGTTCTACACACAGTTCTGTGGTCCCTCAGTGATCCTGGCATCTCCCAGACACTGCCCCTGTGTCCTTCTGACAGCTGGCTGATGGCCTGCACACACTCCCAGGAAGGCCAAGCGTGATGGGAGCCTTGTTTCAGTTATCTGAGTAGCAGAGGTGGAGAGAAGTCTCGGGACTACTTGGGAGTTAGTTCTTCCTAACAGGGCTGTCTGGATGGAAGCATTTCACTCCCTGTGAGCAGAGGGTCTGAGTTTTGGTGGGAGCCCACAAGGGGGATCAGTGTCTGATGGGAAGACTGTGAAGTCTCCTTGACTTGAAATGTGGGAACCCGCATCCTGTCTGGAGGTCGAGGGGTATCTGTTGCCATGTGTAAAAAAGTTGAGGCGAGAAGAGGAAGATGGACTGTGGGGGTGGCCTTCTCTGAGTGAGCATCAGTACCCTCCCACCTAACTGCTCAGATGCAGTTAGGGCAAAAGGATGAACCTTCAGAGGACAATGCAACCATCACAATAACAGGGACACCAGACATACAGCACTAGAAAACAAGTCTCCACTAAACACAGGGTGTTTTATTGGAAACTTGTTTTCTAAGGCTACTTGTCTCGGATCAGGGCAGTGGCTACCACAAGTGGGTTCATAGCAACGATTATGAAGCTGGTGAGACTTCATGTCATCTTCCCTGGGCATGTTACCAGGAGGGAGCAGTCTGTAGAGGACACCATGCTTGGTAAGGTAGCAAGTCAGCGAAAGAGAAGACCTTCATGAGATGGACTGACACAGTGGCTGCCACAATGGGCTCACACACAGCAACCACTGTCAGTTTCCTTCTGTTGGACACACGGTCACTATGAGTTGGAACCAACTCCGCGGCACCTAACAACAACAGGGTTACGTTAGTCCCTGCATCAAGTCCAACATTGATTGGATTGACAACTGGTAGGTTTTCTGCACTAAACCCTGTTCTAGAAGATACACCACCAGGGGCCATGGAACACCTAGAGCTTATCGTCTTCCACAGAGAAGAGTACAGACTTGTCAACTGTGGTACTCTGTCTCCTTGACGATAAGCAAAAACAATAAACCCAAAACCAATCCAGTTACCACTGAGTTCATTCTAATTGCCCTGGTGGCCCAAAAGGGTAAGGGATTAGCTATTAATCAAAGATGCCTCAGAAGAAAAGCCTGACTATCTGCTTCCAAATGATCACAACCTTGAACACCTTACGTTCTATTGTGCACATGTGGGGTCACCAGGAGCAAAAACCCAGTGCCTCCTGGGTGCCTCTGAAATGAGGACAATTCTCTTCATTTTAGAGGGAAGAGTTTGGCTCAAAGAGGCTACAACACTTATCCAAGGTCACATAGTGGAAAGTTGTGAAGCTAGAATTCAAACAGGCTATCATAGGTCCAAAACCTTTGTTCATTCCTCAGGTTTCAGGACTTTACTCCCAAAGCTAGAATTTTATGGTAAATTATACATATTCATGGGGAGTGAGGTGGCTCTGTAGACTATGGACTGTGAACCACAGTGGATGGTACGAGCCTAGTAGCTGCTCCTTGCAAGAAAAAGAAGTTTTATGCTCCTAAAAAGATGTACAGCCTCAGAAATTCTGTACAAGGTTGCTGAGCGGGAAATGACTCCACGGCACTTAATAATAACAAAAAAACACATATTCATACTTACTGATGTCCCATGGTATTCATACTGCTCATAGTCAAAGAGAATTTCTCTTCTGTAATGATATAAAATACATGTGGTCAAAAGGAGACAATAGAGTAAGGATAATATTTTCGAAAAAATGTTAAAACTTGACAACATTAAAAGAAATGCAAATTAAATCATGGCTCTGACCGACCCCTGACCAGTGCAAATGGTTTGTGTCTGACCACTAAGCTACCTTAAAGGGTGATGGTTTGAACCACCCAGTGATGGGGAAGCTAGGCCTGGTGGTCTTTTCCCATAAGATTGTGATTGTTAGTTGCCATTGTGTAGATCCTGATTCATGGGAACTCGGGTGCATAGTAGAACTGCTGTGACTTTTTGGAAGCAGGTTGTTTGTGCCAGCCAGAATGCCTCTGATAAGATGACAGACAAGAAAGCCCTCTGGGGGCGTGGAGGAAGATAGAATCTCCACTGAGTAGTATCCAATCTGTCTGGGTGGGGCTGATGAAAGCAGATGGGGATAGGTCTCTTGTAATACAATAATGAATAATTGTTCTCAGGACTGATTGTGAGGGCTGGAAATGTAAAAGTAGACGTTTTGCAGCAAAAGGAGGGGAATGGTTGATTTTGCAGTCCAGGAGCGGAAGTTCCCTGGGACCATGAAGGGAGAAGAGCCGAGTGTGGGACCCTACCCAGAGAAGCAGTGATGCCAGAGATGGTGGTAGAGACGATGATGTGGAGAGATGGAGCAGTTGGGGACTCTAGTACCAGAGAGGGAGAGGGGCTGTGTGCTGATGACTGGGGGCAGGCTTGCAGGGTATACCCTTTGGATGGTTGATTGATGGAGGGGACTGTAACCATGGCAACACGATAGGATGAATGTAAAGCTAATGTTCTCCCATGTTAACTATCACATAATTCTCAATAAAAAATTAAAAAAAAAAAAAAAAGACAGTCCTCTGGAGCAGTTTACTCTGTCAGACATGGGGTTGCCATGAGTAGGAACTGACTCAATGGCAACAGACAGCAATAACCAATCCTTCACTCACTGACTCTGGCTGAATGTGTATTTGTAGCGCTGAAAAGGCACAGTAAAATGGACATATACTACTTGTGGCTGCGTAAAACTCCCAGAACCCCAAGACAAAAAAATCCAAGGGCAGAGTGATTCACTGCAGCCTGGTGTGCAAACGCCAAATTAGTATATGTTTCAGAAGCGTTTGCCAATTAAGAACTGTGTAAAATGGTTACATTAAGGGAAAAGGCAAAATCAGATGCATATGAAGGGGATCCAAAAAATTCATAGAAAAATGATAGTAAAAAGAACATAACCACTGCCACTGAGTCAATTCTGACTCAAAAAAAAGACCCAACAGGACAGAGTAAAATGCCCTCTAGGGTTTTCAAAGCTGTGGATCTTTACAAAAATAAACATTTTCTCTCACAGAGTGGATGGTGAGTTTGAACTACTCACCTTGTAATTAGCAGCCCAACATATAACCCACCATGTGACCAGAACATTAAGATAAATCAATAGATTTGTCTTAATGAAAAGATAACATAATTAAAGTCACTGCCTACTGGTCAGATGGAGACTGGTGGAACCTCCCAAGACTCTGTGGCCCTAAGTCACCTTTCAGGTCTGGAAATGAAATCACCACAACAGCTCAATTTTCAGCTAAATAACAGACAGGTCTCTAAGGGGAATAATAACACTGGGGCGGTGGGCACACAAACTTTTGAATAATCCATCATGTGAGATCAAAAGGGCAGCATTTGCCCAAGTCAAAGATCAGTTGGGTTAGAAGAGAAAGAATGGAAACAGAAAACACAGGGAGGAAATGGGATGAGGGTTGTCACATTAGAGGATGGCAATCAAGGACAGGACAGGAAACAAAATGTTTCTGAATTGCTGAATGGAATACTGACCTACTCTGTAAACCTTTACCTCACAATAAAAAGTTAAAAAAAAAAAAAAAAGAATTTACTTTCAAAGAGTGCTTGGAGAATAACTTAGTGTATGGTCTGTAACCTCAACAGGGGCTGGTTGTTGCTCTGTGTTGGAATTTCCCACTAAATTAAAAAACAAAACAAAAACTAACTAAACACTTCCAATATACACATTTTCCCACATTGGGAACTTCTGATATAATATGTGGCTCCAGTAGGGATTGTACCTAGGTGTATTTTTCCCGAGCCTGTAGAACACAGATCCTTACTATATAAAGGGTCTGTAAAAAATGTGTAAGAAAATGGAATGAAAAGATAACAGAATTTTCCATGAACTTTCTGAACCCCACCTGTACACTCTTAAAAATGATCTGGAATCTGGACTTGGGAAGGCACTGTCTCCCCTCACTGGCCATACACAGCCCAAGGACACTGTAGCAGGCTCACATTGAGCTAGAATGATTGCTCCCCTGCTTTTATTTTGAAATGCTCCAATTTTATAATGTGCGATATGAAGTTGTGTTGTGGATAGCTTAGTTCCCTTTGCGGAGGTTTCTATGAAAAATTCTACCCATTTGGCACTATTTCATGCATCTACATCTGGAAAACTTTCTAAAGAATCAGAACCAGAGGCCATCACCCCTAACAGATGCCTCATATGTGGGACAATTTTGAGCGAGGCCAGCCATGTACAGGCACAGGTGACCCAGAGCCTTCAACATGCAGCGGCCAAATACTCAGTCCAGAAGCCAGAGCTCTGGGTTCTAAACTAGATGTTACTCTCAAATGAAGAAACTGCACAATCTCCTGGGAAGATACAGGGAAGGGTGGAAGCACAGTCCTTTAGGAAGAGCAGGCTCCTGTTTGTGAGGGTACTGCTATCAGATGCAGGGAAGCAAACTGTCTGGTGCTAACTCACCTCTGGGCCTCCCATGCTCTTCGCTGCCTCCTCTTCATGGTTTGCTCGGCTATTTCCTGGCCCGGGAACAAAGAGAACAAGATGCCAGGGAATGAGCCTCACAGTCTGAGAATGGTCTGATTTGGTAGAGACCACTGAGCTCAGACTCCTGAGGAAAAGTTTGGATCATCTTGGGGCTGAGTGCTGTTGGCTCCTAGACAGTGGCCAGAGGAAGGAACGAGCTCCACAAGTCTCGGCTCCAGGCTAAACACTCAGGGTGCTTTCCATTGCCACCCATCACCATGTGACCTAGGACCAGCCACTCACTCGCCTCGTGACAGTGTCCTTGTCAGAATTAATCAAGAGCAGATGGTCCTTAGGGATCTGTAGGTGGTGCACACAGTGAACGCACTTGAGTGTTCGCCAAAAGGCTGGCAGCTCAAGTCCACCCAGAAGGGCCTCAGAAGAAAGACCTGGCAACCTACTTCTGGAAAACCAGTCACTGATAATCCCATGGAGCACAGTTCTACTCTGACATACATGGGGTTGCCAGGCGTCAGAATCGACTTACCAGCAACTGCCTAAAATGGTTAACGTTTCTTACATTTTCCCATGTGCCGGTCTCTCTTCAAATTGTCTCATTTAATTTTCTAAACAAAGGATGAGGGCATACGTGTTTTTCAAAACCCATGGCCTCACCTTGCAATCCAGTGCATTAACCCGCAGTACCACACCAGGTGTCCACTGCACAAGATAATGTATAAAAATCATACAAACCCACTGCCATCTAGTAGATTCTGACTCACAGTAACCTTTCATAGGGTTTCTGAGGCTGTAGATATTTACAGGAGAAGACAGGTTATCTTTCTCCTACAGAGTAGCTCATGGGTTTGAATTGCCAACTTTGTGATTTGCAGTCCAGTGCTTATCCTATAGTGTAATCAGTAGTAATTATTTCTTCCACATTCTTAGCGGTCTTAGATGAATTATTCTATGTCACATTATATAAATAGCTTGTTTTTCTATCTGTCTTCTATATTAAATTAAATTAATAAAATAAGAAAAAAAACAAAAACAAAAATCCCATGGTCTCAAGACTTCAGCTTTTGAGACTAAGGAGTAGATGTATTATCTCCCACTAAACACAAACCCTAACCCTGGACATTATATTTAAAGCAAACAACAGAAGGTCCTGCAAGATGGAGAGATGGAGGCAGACCAGCTAGATGTCAGGACCCAAGAAACGGCAGGCACAGTGGTGAGTTCATAGCAGACAAAGAAATATCAGAATATAAGGAAATTCTTGGCTTTGGAGGGCACAAGCTTCTAGTTTTCTTCTTGCCTCATGTATCCCAGACTTGGAACTGAAGAAGCCGACAACGTGGAAGTACTGACAGATACAGACACAAAAGCCACAAACAAAGTCTTTTTTCTTTAGTCACAGGCTGAGGAAGGGGACAGCCAGACAAGACAGAAAAGTTTTAGATAATAACTGCTCTAGTCCAGGCAAACACTTAAAAAACTGGGGCCCCATCCCCACCCAACAGCAAAGGCTGAATAGGAGCCTGGGCTTCCATTCATGTGGAGCTGTGACATCTCCCAACTCCACCAGAATAGTGCCTGAGGAGCTAGAACCTTTATTGTTCACTGGTAATGAAGAGTCACCCAGTGTCAATAAAGGCCTAGTAGGGAACTTGAACTTCTAGCTTCACCTGCTAGAAGAGTCCATGTCCTGCCCCCAGCTAAAACAGAGTAAGTCCCAGAGTCTCATCACATAATATGTACACATTCAGGTTTCATAGAAAAAATCACCAAGAACAAGGAAGACTTCAAACTGAGTAAAAAGAATAATCAATAAGTGCTTATACCAAGATGACAGTAATGTCAGTCTTCCAACAAAGATTTTAAAGCAGTCATGATGACAATCATGACTCCTGGTGAGGAACTGTAAACCACAAGGTCGGCAGTTCAAACCCACCAGTTGCTTCTCGGAAACCCTATACAGAGTCACTATGAGTTGGAGCTGACTCAACAGCACTTAACAACAACATGATCACATCATTTCCATGGCAGTTATAAATGCACTTGAAGCAAATGAAGATGCCGAAAGCCTCAGCAATGAAACAGAGTCTCAGTGAAGAAACAGAAGATGGGAGGATCCAAATGAAAATGTGAGAACTGGAAGATGCAATGATCAAAACCAAAGCTCAGAGAATGGGTTCAAGAGCAGAAATGAGGAGATGAAGGAGTCAGTTAACTGGAAGAGAGAACAACAGATATTACCAGTCTGAACAACAGAGAAAACAGGCTGAAAATACTCCTCAGGACTAGTGGTATTATAACAAAAGATGTAATATTTATGTTGTAGGTCCCTGGAAGGAGAAAAGAAAGACAGTGGGCTGATCAGGTACACAAAGAAATAATGGCTGAAATTTTGGCAAGAGACCTAAACCTGGTTCTAGAGACCAGGCTTTTATGTGAAAATCAGAGTTATAAAAAAACAGATAATACAAGGAGCTCTGGTAGCAGAGTGGGTATGTGTTCAGTTGCTAACTACAAGGTTAGCAATTTGAGTCCACCAGCCGTTCTGCAGAAGAAACATAAGACTTTATGTTTCCATAAAGATTTACAGTGTCAGAAACCCTATACAAGTCAGAGCTGATTTGATAACACACAACCACCACCAAATCAGATTTCACAATGGAAGATGATCACATCATAACATAGCTGCTAAATTACATAACTTCCCAAGTACTAAGACTCAGGACCCAGCCAGGTAGACAAATAACCAACCATGGCAATGACAGCCAGCATTCTTCTTACCTAACACCTTGACACTTATTACTTCCAAATGTATGTCATTAATGTGCAAAATAGTTGGACAATAGATTTTCTACTGTTGTCATAAATGTGAAATATCAGACAAGATGGTTGATGAGTGAGGAGTTGGTGTATTCAGGAGCTGAACAAACCCCAAACAGGAAAGGCCCAAAGAAATCCACACTAACACATTGTAAGTGAACTCTGAAAAACTATGTCAAAACAAAAAACCACAATAAACAAAAAACTTGACAAGAGCAAAAGAAAAATAACTTACCTGAATCGCAAAGACGATGTGAATGACTGCAGAGTTCTTATCAGAAACCACGGAGACCCAAAAGAATTGACACAACATTTCCTAAAATAACGGAACTGTCAACCCTGGATCCTATGCCCAATAAGGAAAATCATGACATGCTCAGAAAGAAAATGGAAATTGGTACCAACTCACCTTAAAGTAACAGCTAAAGGAAATGATGCAGACAGAAAGAAAAGTATTTTAAAAAAGAAAACTTTGGAATGTGAAGAAAAGATGAACATAATAATAATAATAATAAAATGTGGGGTAGTACAGTAAGATTGTGTTATATGTTTAATGGTTGAAGTAAACAATAAATCTATGTGGTTCTAAATTATGTAGAGGGAATATTTGAGAAAATTATATCAGAAACAAGGGGGCATAAAGAGATTTAAGGGGAAGTAAGGTTTCTACATTTTATTTGAACCAATAAAATGAGGACACCAGTAGATAAATTTTGCATATAATATAAGTTTTCTGCTCCCATAAAGATTTACAGCCTCAGAAACCCTATATAAAGGAACCCTGGTAGTGTAGTGCTTATGCATTGGGCTAACTGAAAAGTCAGCAATTCAAATCTACAAGCTGCTCTGTGGGAGAAAGATGAGGCTTTCTGTTCCTGTAAAGATTCACAACCTTGGAAACCCTATACAGGCAGGGTCATAGTGAGTTGGAACCACCTCCACTGCACACAACCACCAAACTCTATACGAGGTCACTATGAGTCGGAACCAACTCCACAGCATACAACTACCACACCAGATCAAAAAAACAAAACAAAAAATCCAAACTCAATGCCAGAATTGATTCTGACTTACAGTGACCCTGTAAGACAAAGTAGAACTGTCCTATATGGTTTCTCAGGCTATAAATCTTTATGGAAGCAGACTGCTTCATCCTCATCTTTCTCCTGCAGAGTGGCTGGTGAATTCAAACTGCGGGCCTTTCAGTGAGCAGCCCAATGCTAAACCCATTGTGCCTCCAAGACTCCTAATATCTAGAACTGTCACTAAAAAATCTAAATAAGGTGCATTTAAAAGCACTACAAATAAGACCCCTACCTTATATATGAGAACCGTATCATAAATTTAAGAGCTAAAACCATAAAACTCTTCAAAGATAACACAGAGGTAAAATTTCGAGTACTTGTGACAATGGACCTTAACTATGACACCAAAAACACAAACAAGCCACAACAAAAAAATGATAAACAGAACTTCATTAAAATGAAAAACCTTGATGCATCAAAAGACTCCCAAGAAAGTGAAGAATGAATAGATGCATGCACATCTGTGTTCATGACAGCATTATTCACAGCAGCACGAAGTTGGAAACAACCTAGTGCCAATCGGTGGATGAATCGTCAAGAAAAATGCAGTGCATACATACAATGGTACCCAATGCAGCGATAAGGAAAACTGATCTCCTGAAACATCTTAGAATGTGGATGAAACTGGAGGCATTCTGTTGAGTTCATCACAAAAATACAAGCATTGTGTTCTCACTTGTATGAAATGACTCATATGAACTCATATGAACAGGTCAATACACAGAAACTAGTGATGATTAGTAGTTACCAGGGACTGGGAAGAGCTCACTCTCTAGACAGTAGATACTTACTATTTTTGGTGATGGAAAAGGTAACAAGTGAGAGTGATGTGTACACAGACTGATGAAGGTAAAAGATGTCAGTAAAATATGCAAAGAAAAAAGATAACACCGAAAAAGCCTGTTGGTAGCTGCTATGTTGTTGTTGTTGTTAAGTGCCGTCGAGTCGCTGCTATAGCATATAATAATTCGAAAACATAAGCGAAAACTACCAAATAAATGTGACTATAGTAATAGACACCTGGCAAGATGAACTGACACAGCGATAGCATCAATGGGCTCAAACATAGCAACAATTGTGAGGTTGGCCTGGGACCGGGCAGTGTTTCGTTTGGTTGTGCATAGGGTCCCTATGAGTTGCTACTGACTCCATGGCACCTAACAACAACAACAGTCCTGTTGTGGCGCTATAGGATCAGCACTAGACTTCAAACCACAAGATTGGCAGTTCAAGCCCACCAGCTGCTCCTCGGAAACCCAATCAACAGCACTTGACAACAACAACATAGTCGTATATAAGTTGATAGCACAAGTATGTGTATTTACGGAAATATATGCATGTATGGAGTCCTGGTGTGGTGCTGTGGGTTACTGGACTGAAAAGTCAGTTTGAACTGCAAGGTCGGTGGTTCAAACTCAACAGTTGCTCCACGGAAACTTTATATAGGGTCGCTGTGGGTTGAAACTGACTTGATGGCACATAATAGCAACGTATGCATATAAGTTCAGATATACAATAAAGCACACAGTGAGTAGTTATGGATGCTTCTTAGATATAAACACACACCTGGGTGTGAAGGAGAGGACCAGGGTCTCATGGAACACTTTGGTCAATTACATTAAAATAGTTCATAAAATTATGTTCAGCATCCCAGTTTGGTGAGTGCTATCTGGGGTCTTAAGAGCTTGCAAAGGGCCATCTAATATACATCTATTGACCTCGATTCATCTGGAGCAAAAGAGAAAGAAAGAAACCAAAAACTCAAAGAAGAAACTAGTTCACTAACAAATGAAACTGGTTCACAGGACAATGTCTGGTCTATACAAACCATGGCCTCACTACCCTGAGACCAGAATGAGATGCTACTTCTAGTTCCAACTCACAGCAGCCCCATGGTCAACAGAAATAAACACTGTCTGGTCCTATACTCATCATTACAATGGGATACAAATGTGGAACAGAATCTTAATAAGAACCAACCTACCAACAACAACATAAAACCAGACCTACCATACTGGCTGAGAATGGAGGACTCCCCAACACTAGTTCCCTGAGATATTCTTCAAATTAGGAACTGAAGGTAACCCCAGAGGTCACCTTGTAGGTAAATAACAGACGCACTCAAGAAATAATAAATATCACCAATAAGTACTGTGTTCCTTTAAAATATCAGCTATATGAGACCAAATAGCCAATAATGGCTTGAAAACAAAGATGAGAATGAAAATGGAACAACCTGAATAGAAATCATGAGAATGTTCATGCACTGTGAAGGACATCATCAATGTCACTAAGTAGTACGTAGAAACTGTTGAATGGGAACCTGAACTTCTTCAAACAGCACCAAAGAATGCCAGAATAAAGATCTTCTTCCTTTCTGAGGAAGAATGGCCTCCCACCTGCAATTCTACCTCCAAAAGCAGCAGCAGCCAGTATTGAGCAGTGCCCTTCCACAGGCTTGGCCCCAGGTCGACAAGCAGCTAGGACCCAAGCCCATGTGGCACATAGCACTCACATCTTGGCATACAAGCTGCTTTCCCGAGTGACCGTCTGGAACACGGCCCAGTTGAAGACTGTGGCCACACAACTTCTCACTCGGTCACTTCACAGCCTGAACGAAGTGGTAGTAGGGACAGATGGTGTGTGGTAACTGTTATTTCCCTATTGTCTCTCTAAACCAAAACCAAACCCACTGCCACTAAGTTGATTTGGACTCATAGCAACCCTCTAAGGACTGAGTAGAACTGCTCCCTACTGTTTCCAAGGTTGGAATCTTTATGGGGAGTCTTGGTGTGGCACTGTACAATAAAGCACTAGACTGCGAGGTTGGTTTGAACCACAAGGACGGTAGTTCAAACTCACCAGTCACTCCTCAGAAACCCTACACAAGGTCACTATGAGTCAGAAATGACTCAACAGCATTCAACAACAATGACAACAATCTTTATGGGAGCAGACTGCCTCATCTTAGTCCTGTGGAATAGCTGGTGAGTCTGAACCATGGACCTTGGAGTTAGCAGCTCAACATATAATCCACTATGCCATCAGGGCTCCTATGTTTCTCTTCATCACTTGTTCTCTAGGAGTAGAAGCAGGCTTTCCTACATTCTGTTTCATTCTGATGGGGCTCTACAACACAGAAAAGATACTGGGTCATCTGTCAAGGCCATGCAGCCAGGGAAAGACAGAGTCCTTCAGTCCAAGCTATTGCCTGCACCACTCGGCACTGAGTCCGCTGCCCCCAAGTTATGCCTGGGCCCAGTCAAGCTCACGCTCCAACTGGGATGGACCCCTGACCTCAGGATCCCTGTAAAAAGTCCCAAACCACACCTCTTCCAACCGTGTGCGCTTCTCCAAGGGCTCTGACCCATCACTTTCATGTCCTGAGTGTTCTTCATCCTCCTCTTCATCCCTAAAGATGTCATCATAGGCGGGAACTTCCAGGTCATCATCTTGTTTGATGAGTAGTTGGATCTATGTTTAAGACAAAAAAAACAACAAGTCTCTCAACAGAGAATTCAGAATCTTTTCCTTTCCTGGCTAGCTGACTGGTAGGCTTTCTGTATCTGCAAATGCCTCTGTCTGAGTGCCAGACTTCGCTGGCATTTTATGTGTGTGGATTTCCACTCAGTGAACGATTGGCCTGGCACCACACTCTATGGAGGACTTAGGGAAATCTGAGAACTACCGCTGTCAATCCCTCTCATGTCACACACCAAGCCAACAAAATGAACATCCACAACTGGGCTTCTGATGGAGATCAGGAAGAGGTGTAAGCCCTAATGGAAATAAAACGTTCATCTCTAAAAGCAATGCTGAGCTGACTTGCTTGGAGGAGTGCTCCAAGAATCGAATGCTGAGCACTTTGTAAACTGAGACAATCAACTGAGGGTGTTGAGGGGTTCCAGGGTCAGATCATTAAGAGCTGTGTTAGGGTCACTGGAACCTCTCACATCAGCCTCTCTGCTGGTTCTCACATGATCCTTGGGTATGCACAACTGGGCCTAGCCCCATTCATAGGGAGATACCTTCTAAACCAAAACTATCTTATCAATCCTAACTCATAGAGACCCTATAGGACAGAGAGAACTGCTTCCTAGGGTTTGGGACTGTAAATCTTTATGGAAGCAGACAACCTCATCTTTGTCCCATCAAGCAGCTGATGGGCGTGAACCACTGACTATGCGGTTACTAGTCCAATACTTAACCCACAGCACCACCAAGGCTCCTTCAACACCTCCCAGGTCAAAAATAGCACACACACTTTCTGAGAGCCCTCACATTTCAGGTGTCATGTGTCTCATCTAAGATGAACAAGACCAGGTCCTCATCCTTAGGTTGCTGACATGCCCACAGGGGAGACAGATACAAGCTTGCTAAGAACACAAGACAGGACTCTGTACATGGCATAAAAAGGTACAGATGAGTGGATGGAATAAAACTGAGGGGGTAGGGACCAATACCAAGCCCAAAGGCCTTGTTACCTGGGTGTCATTGTACACATTCACAACATTGACAGGCCTGTGGGTGTCACACACAAAGAATATGGCATCTTCTTCGGGTTGCAGGATATCCAATAGGTCTACATTAGCTCCACAATTTATGAGGATGAAGTAACGGAACTGCAAACAGAAAGAAGAAGCATACTATAAAGTCAGCTTACCAAGGAGGTTCTTGACCTTCTCTGCAGTAGGCATCTGAGGCCTTCTGCTGAGAAATATCAAACTTACCAGAAGGGACTCCAAGAATGCTCCTGGCTCATTGGTGCTGAGCACACTAACCTAACAACCACGATGATTATACTCTCATGTTATTGTTAGGTTAATAATATCTGTCGTTGTTGTTAGGTGCCATCGAATCGGTACTGACCCACAGCAACTTTATGCACACCAGAATGAAACACTGTCCGATCCTGGGCCAACCTCACTACTGTTGCCACACTTGAGGGGGCTTCAAAGTTGCTTTGAACTGCATGATTGGTGGTTCAGCTCACCAGCCACTCTTTAGAAACCCTATACAGGGTCACTATGAGTCGGAACTGACTCAATGGTACTTAACAACAACAACAATTGTTAGGTGCTATGTTAGCTGGTTCTAATTTATAGCAATTCCATGTACAACAGAACAAAATTGCCCGGTCCTTGCTAGCTTCACAATCGTTGCTATGTTTAAGCCCATTGTAGTAACCACTGTGTCAGTCTATCTCATTGAGGATCTTCCACGTTTTCACTGACCTCTACTTTATCAAGCATGATGTCCTGCTGCAGGAACTGCTCCAAAGAATGTGAGACAAAGTCTCGCCAACCTCACTTCTAAGGAGCATTCCAGCTGTACTTCTTCCAACATTAACCCTTCCTTACAAATACTGCACTGACAAAGGTCTCTCATATGATGATGAGAAACCAGGCCAGGATTTCTCTCTGCCAGAGCAGTGTCACATGGCCAGGGACAAAGGGGCCCTCTGCCACATCCCAGTCCCCTCCTGTGTGGTCCAAGATGGCCCACCTCGCCTGTGGTCATATGGAGGTAGACAGAATCCTGGCCTCTACTGCCTAAGTTACAAAGGTAGAAGATAAGTTGTTAGATTTCAAGTTGGAATCTAGGGTACTTTCACTTGGAGAGATAATGAAAAATTGTAGTATATCCTAAGATAGTTTTAATTCAGTCAAATGAAAAACTGCTAAATTTCATGTCCCTCACAGTGAAATTTCTGTAATCAATTTTTACTATTCTTTCTTCTTTTTAAAACTGTGATTCCACAATTTAAAGGTAAGTTATTTGTACATGAAAAGGCTTCACACAAGTGTTTGTGGAAAAATTCTCTTATCTTTTATTTCCATTTTTCTATGAACTTTTTGAAGCCCCCTCAGACATTATATATTTCTCTTCTGCTTTGCGCAATATAGTAGACACTTCCATATACATTCTTTCTATTATGGAATCAGAGAGAATGCTAGGTGTTAAAAAATGTTAAAACAGTGGAATAACAAAGGCTAATTATGCCACAATTTATCTTTCCTACCTGTTCTTTGTGTTCAAGAAATGCAGTTTCAAGTTCTTGCCACCCAGAAACTGGAACTAGCGTATACTGCACATGGTCACACTGGAACAAGGCCTGGGGAAAAAGCATTGTCAAAGTGTCTTGTTTAGGATGTCTGTAAGTTCCTTTGAAAAGCACCAAGATTGGTTATACAGTTAGTAGAGAGAGATGGCATGTTAAAAACCCACTGACGTCCAGTTGATTCCAACTCATAGTGACCCCAGCCAGGGGAGAACTGCTCCAGGTTTCCCGAAACTATTGGTCCTTGAGGAAGCTGATGGGTCCGAACCACCAACCTTTCAGTTGACAGTCCATCACCTAACCCACAAAACTACCAGGACATGGTTAAAACCAGTTGCCATGAAGTTGATTCAGATTCATGGCAACCCCACACATGTCAGAGTAGAATTGTGCTCCACAGGGTTTTTGGTGGCTGATTTTCTGGAACTAGATTGCCAGCCCTTTCTTCTGAGGCACCACTAGGTGAATTCTGACAACCTTTTAGTTAGTAGCTGAGTGCTTAACCATTAGCACCTGGAGACTCCAGAGCAAGGTTAGCAAAATAATAATAGGAGAAATTTGGTGGTAGGCCTATGAGTGTGCACTGTATCCCTCTGTCCACTTTGCTGAGAGTTTGAAAATTACAAAAGTAATATATAGGAGAAAAACCCAATTTTACTTCCAGGTCTTCTGAGAAGCTTCTGACTAAAGGACTTGACCAACGCTTATGCAAATGTGCCATCATATTTAAATTAGGACTAAACTAATAAGATCAAGCCATTAAAAAAAAAACAAAACAAAAAACAACCCAAGGCTAGAGTCCTGGCATCCATTCCAGCTCATTGCAACCTTGTAAAAAAGAGTAGAATTGTTCCTTATGGTTTCTGAGACTATCAATATTTACAGAAGCTGACAGCCTCATCTTTCTCGCTGGGAAGGGTTGATGGATTCCAACTGCCAACTTTGCAGTTAGGAGCATGATGCTTAACCCACAGCACCACCAGGTTCCTTCCTAATAGACCACTCATCTTTTATTTCCAGCATCATTTATAACACCACCCTGCCCTCAGTTGTCAGATGGGTCTCTTGTCAAATCTCACATTTCACAGACCACTCTAAGTTTAAATCTTATGTTTTGCTCCAATTCAACTACTTTTCGCCTAGGTTATTGTAAAAATATTAACTAGCCATCCCACCTTTTACCAATACGCCTCTAAACTACCTCTCACCATTTAGCTTGGGTGGTGACCTCCTCAGTTTGCAGCTGTTGTGGCCCCAGCCCCACCCCAGCCTCTGTTGTCACCTGGGGGCTAATGGAGGGGGGCCTCTCTATTCTGCTCCCCACAGCCCGCCCTATCCCCTCCATCCCCGGGTCCGCGGGGCTTACCTGAAGGATCTTGCAGGCACACAGAGCGTCCACGTCTGAGGCCACAAAGAGAAGGACCCTCTGTCCGGGAAGAAGAAAATACAGGCTAAATTGGGCGCCCCGAGTTGCGGCCTCTCCCCCTCAACCATTGCTCCCAACAAGATCTCACCTGACTCTGGACCAGATCATAGAACTCCTTTCGGAAATCAGACACAAACATGTCCACGGTGGCCAGACCCCTTGCACAAGAACTGTGATTCTGAGAGTCCTGACGGAGGTCAAGACTCCCGCCAAAGTAGGACTGTTCCAATTGGTCAAGGGGCCGCCAATCAATTGCTGCTCAGGTCTTAGCCCGCCCTCCTTTCTGATTGGGCCATCCTGGGGGCAACCACTAAGGCCCCACCATTCGTAGTCGGAGAAACCCGACCCGGTCCTCCCCCACGGAGCGTGAAAACTTGGCTGGACGCAAACACTGACTGCCCTTTTACCCAGGAATTCGAGTCTCGGTAGATATGTTTACCTTGGGAAGAGAGGACTATTATTTCTCACTGGAACTTCAGGAAAAAACATTTTCATGAATATATTAAATTAGTTATATATAGAATGAGTGCGTTCTTTTTACATTTCGAATAGGCTCCACCTCTAAGTCAAAGGAGGATGTAGCGTTCACTACATCTGTGTTTTCGATGACGGACTCATAGGCCGGAAGTCTCTTTGAAATCTGGGTAGTGTAGTCAGGAAAGGGAATGGGTCATACCAAATTTGTCTTGAGGGGCGTATTATCAAGATGTAATTTAGACTAATAAGAAAAATAATCTCGAATTGATATCCAGTTATTAAATGGCCTTCTAGTGTTTATTTCTGTGAAATTTGATACCCCAGACTCTTTGATATGACTCTTTTCTCTTTTGCAGTCGACCCCTGACCTCGGCATTCCGCTGTCCGGATTCCAAGTCCGTCACTTCCGGTGAGCCTCTGTGGCGTCGCGTCTGTTGTAGTGTCGGTGGTTGTGAACGCCGAGGCTGTGCCAGATCGTTGGGCTCTCATAATAACGTTCTCTTCAGGAAGCGGCGCCTGCGAGGCGAAGGTGTCAACCATGGTGAGTGCGGCCGGGTCTGACCCCAGAAATGGTGCCGGGAGGCGGTGGGACGGGGCGGGATGGCAGCGGAGATGCTAAGTCACCCGACCTGGGCCGGGTCTCTTTCTGTTGGTCGGGGGCATGGCTCGCGTTTTCTCTTAGTTGGACTGTGAACTCCTTCAGCATTCTGTTTGGGTCCACTCAAACTGGACATGTAACAGAAGTTCAAACCAAACCAAATCCACTGCCACCGTCGGACCGAGTCTGACTCATCGCAACCCTATGGGACAGAGTACGGGAGCAGACTGCCTCATCTTTCTCCCGAGGAGCGGTTGGTGGGTTTGAACCATATTCTGGTTAGCTATTGAGTGCTTAGCCCTATGCACTACCAGGGCGCCAGCAGGCGTTCCTCAACAATTAACTGACAGGTTGTTGAAGTGCGGAGCGAAATCAGGGGTTCCACATCGCAGATGCTTATGCTCCAGCATTTATGCCTCCTGGCTAATGCCTGGGTTGTGTTCCCGAGGCATCCGACTCACAGCGACCCTGTATAGGGTTTTCAAGGAGCAGCTAGCTGATGGGTTTGAATCTCTGACCTTGTGATTAGTAAGTAGTGCAGTACTTACTCTACAGTGCCACACCAGGACTGCTAAGTTAAGTGTTAAGTTCAGTAATGATATCAAAAATCAAAACCAAATCCACTACTGTGGAATCAATTCTGACTCCCAGTGACCCTATAGGAGAGAGTAGAACTGCTCCCTAGGGTTTCCAAGACTGTAAATCTGGTGTGGAGAATGGCCAGCCCATGAAATCATTTGGTCTGGCCCAGCCAAGGCAACCATTGTTCCAGCCATCATGTTTGTTGTTAAGTGTTGTCAAGTCGATTCAACTCATAGCAACCCTGTTTAGGGTTTCCTAGGAGCGGCTGGTAAGTTTGAAACACTGACCTTCTGGTTTAAACCAACATTGCAGTCTAGTTCTTATCTTACAGTGCCACACCAGACTCCTTGACCAAATATTTATGTGCCACTGAGTCGATGCCAACTCATAGCAATCCTGTGTAGGGTTTCTGAGGCACAACTGCCAACCTTGCAGTTCAAACTAACTTTGGGGTCCAGTGCTTTATCCCAAAGTACCACACCAGGACTCCTGACCAAATATAGCAGGCTAATTTTTAAATTGGTTATTTTGTATGGCCTGTGAATGATGTTATAAATATTGGCAGAAAAAGTTTCCCCACACCTGCTGTAAATCTTTACAGCAGCAAATTGCCACATCTTTCTTTCACAGGGCAGGTGGTGGGTTTGAACTACCAACATTGTGGTTAGCAGCCCAATGTTTAACCTAGTGGCCACCAAGGCTCATAATGATAACAATGTTGTTATTAAGTGCCATTGAGTCACTTCTGACTCAACTCATATTGACCCTGTATAAGGTTTTCGAGGCTGTTAAGTGGATGAACTTGGGAAGAGAATTGTGATTCAATCCTGAAATTTGTTGTTGTTGTTAGGTGCCATCAAGTCAGTACCGACTCATAGCGACCGTTTATGCAACAGAATGAAACACTGCCTGGTCCTGGGCCAAACTCACAATTGTTGCCACGCTTGAGCCCATTGATGCTGCCATTTTGCCAATCCATCTTGCCGGGGGATCTTCTTCTTTTTCTGTGACCCTCCACCTTACCAAACATGATATCCTTCTCCAGCGACTGATCCCTCCTGACAATATGTCTGAAATATGAGAAACGAAGTATGGCCATCCTGGCCTCCAAGGAGCATTTCTTCCAACACAAATCTGTTCTTTCGGTGCCCATGGTACTTTCAATATTCTCCTGCAACACCATAATTCAAATGCATCAATTTTCTGCAGTTTTCCTTATTTACTGTCCAGCTTTCGTATGCATATGAGGTTATTGAAAATACCATGGCTTGGGTCATGTGCACCTTAGTAGCCCTCAAGCTGACATCTTTGCTCCTTAACACTTTAAAAAGGTCTTGTGCAGGAAATTTGCCTAATGCAACACTGACATACTTAGGGTAAAATCTACTAGCCACATATTGTTTTTCACTAAAGTAAGCCGGTGAGACTGAGACAGTGCTGTCAGTGGAGATGAGACGGCACATTGCCCACATTTGTGACCTTGAGTTAGTGATCTGCCTCTTGAAAACTTAGTTTTCTCAAGGTTTAAAATGATAACATCCAGGCCTCCAAGGAGATTACAGCAATTAAATGGTATGACAGAAAGAACCAAAAAAAAAAAAAGTATGTAAAGACAAAGTGTCAGCGAATATTAGCTATTGTAAGGAGCGTTGTGGCTCCATACAGTAATTACTGCTTGTCGGTTTCAGCCTGCTGCTAGCCACTCAGGATAAAGATGAGGCTTTCTGCTCCTTCAGATTGAAAAAGCCCCAGGAACCCAATAACCCAGGAACACTATGAGTTGGAAACCGACTAGACAGCAATTAACAACAATAATTGTTATCATTGGGTCCTGGTGGCTTAGTGGGTTACAAGTTGGGCTGCTTGTCAGCAGTTCAAATCCATCAGCTGCTTGTCGGAGAAAGATGAGACTTTCTATTTCCATACAGATCTACAGCCTTGAAAACCTTATGTGGGTTCACTATGAATTGAGTCAGAAGTGATTCGATGGTGCTTAATAACAACAGCATTCTTGCCATTAGGAGCCCTGGTGGCTACTGGATTAAACATTGGGGTGCTATCCATGAGGTTGGCAGTTCAAACCCACCATTTGCCCCAAGAAAGAAGTGGCAGTTTGTTCCTGTAAAGATTTACAGCAGGGGTGGTTGTTGTTAAGTGCCCTTGAGTTGGGTCCAACTCATAGAGACCCCTGTATAGGGTTTTGTTAGAACTGCCATTTTGTGATTCAAACCGACCTTGTGTTCAAGTGTTTATACTATAGCACCATTCCAGGACTCTGCACATATGACTTAAGGTAGCACAATGGATTAAATGTTGGGCTTGGAACAGAAAGGTCAGTGGTTCAAATCCACCAGCTGCTCCATTGGAGAAAGATGAGGCAGCCTGCTTCCATGAAGATTCCCAGCCTCAGAAAGCCCAGGTGGCAGTGGGAATGCACTCCATGGCTGTGGGTTTCCTTGGTTTGCTGTGGTTCCAGTTACTGACTGTGAGCAAGTGCTGCAGTGTAGTAGTTTGTGTGGCTACTATGAGCTGTGAGAGCACATTGGCAGGGCAGGAGCCCTAACTCTGAACAGAGCAGGAAAGGCTTCCTGTAAGAAGAAAAGGATGATCCTGGGGAGCCAGGTAAAAAAAAAACAAAATCAACCCACTGCTGTCCAGTCATTTCCTGCTCATCAAGGAGACCTTATAGCACAAAGTAGAACTGTCCCATAGGGCTTTTGAGGCTGTCAACCTGTATGGGAGCAAACAACCTCATTTTTCTACTACAGAGAGACTGACTAGTGGGTATGAACCACTGTTCCTGAGGTTAGAAGCTCAACATTCAACCCACCATGTTACCAGGGTTCCTGCTGCCTGAATGTCTTTCCTGGTTTTCTCCCTGGTATTCAGGTCTCATGACCACCTGTTTAAAATAGCAGCCCCTTGTGCTCTTGAGCCCCTGACTCTGCTCTTGTCTTCAGAGCATTTATTAACACCTGACATGGCACATTCACTTTTGCTCCCATCGCTTGCCTTGGCAGGCAGCTTCACAGGGCAGAGTTTATGTGTGCTCTAGTAACTGATGTTTCCTCCATGCTTAGAACAGAACCTGGTAGTGCCAGATAGTGGTTATACAGTAAATAGGTATCTTTAAACTAGAAGTGTGGTTTTAAGTTACCAGAAATAGAAAATTGCTCCAGATAGAGCCAGGCAGGAGTTAAAATAGGACTGGAATCCTGGTGTGGCTCTGTAGGGATCAGTGCTGGACTGCTCTCTTCAGTGTCGGGAGTTCAAACCCACTAGCCCGATCCTTGGTAATCTTATACAAGGTTGTTATGAGTCGGAACCGACTCTATGGCACTAACATCACCACCATCAGGAAACTGGTCTGTCTTCCAGTGAGTGTACTTGGGAACAGCCTGCGGGGTCAGCCTGGATCCTTAGGAGGGGTGCCTGCTGAGAGAGGTTGAGGGAAGGATTACTATAACCAGTTGCGTAGTTCAGTAAGGTCACACTTTCCAGGAACGGTGGGGACTGAACTTGAGGACCAGAACTAGGGCTTAATCACAGAAATTTGAGTCACTCTACTACCTGAGAAGTACTTCTGTCTGAACGCTCTACTTCCAGTAAAGTGCCCAGCTACTAACTGAATGGTTGGTGGTTCAAGTCCACCCAGAGGTGCTTTGGAAGAAAGGCCTGGCATTCTCTTTTCAAAATGTCAGCCTTTGAAAACCCCATAGTGCACAGCACCACTCTCATTCATGTGAGTTCACCAGGAATCGGAATCGGAATCAAATCAGTGCAACCAACAGCAGTCAGGGATCGTCAAGATTTTTGTATATTTTGTTCTTTGATATTTCCATTTAATCTATGACCCTTGGAGTCCTGGTGTAGTGCTGTGGGTTAATGCGCTAGACTGCAAAGCCGTTTGAACTGCAAAGTCAATGGTTCAGGCTCACCAGTCACTACTCGGAAACCCTATACATGGTTGCTATGGGTCAGAACTGACTTAACGGCACTAAACAGCAAGAACAATGACCCTTAGTTGGTTATGATTCACAGGGACCCTATAGGACAGTCGAACTACTCCTGCGGTTTCCAAGATGGTAAATCTTTATGAGAATAGATAGCTTCATCTTTCTCCCACAGAACAGCTGGTGGTTTTGATTTTATGGATAGCAGGCCATCACTTAGCCCACTGTGCCACCAGGGCTCCTTTGACATGTAGCGGCATTAATTATCTTTATGCATTTTGGCTTTTGACATGAAATGTGCTTTTGTTCCGTTCTTATGCTCGCATGTCTTTTCTCCTTCCAGTTCTCTTTCAATATGTTTGACCACCCGATTCCCCGGGTCTTCCAGAACCGCTTCTCCACGCAGTACCGCTGCTTCTCCGTGTCCATGCTAGCAGGGCCTAATGACAGGTCAGATGTGGAGAAAGGAGGGAAGAGTATGTGCTTTTTTATAATTTTGTATGGAAACCTCTCCTGCCCCTAAGTCCCATGTTCGTACCTCCAACCAGAATCTAGTGTTAAGGGACAGGGAGATGTCACTCATCCCAGGCTTGTTAATGGGGGAGGTGGAGGATTCCCATCCTAGTTAGATTAGTGTCTGGTGGCCATCCCACCACTGCCATCCAGTCAATTTCACGTCAGAGAGACAGCATAGAAGTGCTTCCTAAGTTTGCGGGACTGTCAGTCTTCATGGAAGCAGACAGCCTCATCTTTATTCCATGGAGGACCTGCTGGGTTCATACTGTTCACTTTGCTGCAAACAGTCAATGCTTAACTCATTGTGCCACCAGGCCTCCTAGTAACCATTCTATTCCCCAAAATAAATTAAGTGCAATATTGATGAAATATCGTTATGAAATGTCCAGCTGCCCTCAACTATTGTTTAAATTTTTTTGTATGTATAGGGGTGGGATGTAATAGAATCTACAGTTTGGGTTTTGTTTTACAATATCTCGAATGTTCTTTCTGCAGTAATCATGCCACCATCTGCCCTGGATCAGCTCAGTAAGTATTTTCGAAGTGACTTGATGATGGCACCAGGCTCCTCAGTATGTGTAGGTCCATGTCTCTGTTGGCTCAGGGATTGTCCCTGGAGGCTAGGTGAGCTTGATCACGAGTGCCCAAGGACAAGGTCAGCATGGTATAGTGGCCATCTGTTCAGGACAGGCAGGGTCTGAGAGCACTCAGTTTCACCACAGCCTGAGGCACTTCAGGTTCCTGTCCCCACTGCCCCCATGTATGGAAAGCAGGATCCTGGCAGGATTAAAGTCGATGTGAGTATCCAGTTCTTTACCCAGTCTCAGGACAGCAGATGCTGCCTGGACCTCCCAGGCTTTCTCCCAAAGGACTGGAGGTCAGGTGGCCAGAGGATGCTGAGAGGCAGTTTCTCATTTCCACATTGAACATTGATCCTAAACCCCAGGGTTGGGTTTCTCCCCGAACTGCCACATCTTCCCTTCAGTATGCCCAAACCTGAGCTGTTGCTTTCCACCCGGAAGGTGTGTCCCCACCTCTTAGAAGTGAGAAAGGTCCACAGGTGGTCAGAACTGTGGCTCTCTTCTTTTCTCCTTCCACTCCTCAACCATCCTGGAGACGCCAGTCCCACACCACTCAGACATAGAAAACCATGTTCATGGAGGCAGTGCAGTTATTGCCTTTGGAGACTCGGGATGGTCCCCAGTTCCAGCACAGGGCAGTGCTGCTTCTGGAAGCTCTCCCCACCTATCAGGAGCTTCCTGCCAAGCCATCCCAACTTGATTGGATGGGTGTAGAATTTGTAGTGAGGCCCCAAATGGAGTCTGTTGTACCTCCTATCTTGGAATGGAACGTTTCTTAATCTGTTCACTTAAACCTATAAGCTAAAGACTACCTAGACTAAAGGCAGCAGCCTAACATCGTCACTCATGAGCTGGGTGATCTTCAGCATATCACTTATCCGTGTGCCTTTGCTTCCTCGTAGGTAAAAGGGGTGATGGGAATGCCTGATTCACTGCTCTGGGAAGGGGAAGATCCCCCAAGGTCCTGGTCCATGGCCAACACTGTCATTACCCTCTCAGACCTCTCTCAGCTCATCCCCAAGTCTCCTGGGTTCCCCTTTAGTGCCACGCTGCCCCCTCAACTCAGAATGCCAGCAGTCCTATTTGCCTGACCCAAGCTTTCTGTGTGCCCAACTTATGGATCATTGGATCAAGACAATTTATCACTTTGTGACCCTGCTGAGAGCCCACACTAGAGCAGGAAGCTGGGAGGAGTGGGGCTATATTCCCCCCTTGGTGGTATTCTGGCTTGCTCCTCTCCCCACTCTGATCTCTTCCCCTGTACTGCCATTAAGGTGATTCTAACTCATAAGGACCATATACAATAGAAGAGAACCGCTCCTCAGGATTTCCAAAGCTGTCAGTCTTTGTGGGAGCTGACAGCCTCCTCTTTCCCTTGCAGAGTGGCTGGTAGGTTTGAGCCACTGGTCTTTTTGTTAGCAGCCCAATGTTTAACCCACAGCACTACCACCTAATTGCCAGCCATTTTCTAACTGGCTAGTCTATATGCCCGTGATTTTGCTTAAGCCATTCCTCTGTCTGGAATTCCCGCCGGGTCCCCCTGGTCCCCTGGCCAGTGGCTTGCCTTGAGAATTCATCCTTCAGAGCTGTGTGCCCTCTCCCGCTGGCTGGGATCCCTACACCGTCTTTGCACCAGACCAACAGCATTGTGTGCACTCCATATGTTTTCCTTCTTGCCTTTCTAGCTGACGTATCTCCAAAGGCAGGGATTGTCTGAAACAATAAGCAAAAGTACATGATACTTTTTAACTTTGTGTTTCAAAAAGTCACCAGCCTAAGCCAGTGCCACATTCCAGAGAGTTACCAAGCATTCCAGTTCTTACTCTGGGCTAGGCAAGGTGCTCTTGGAACAAGTGACTTGTCCCTGTCAGGATATGATGGGGAACTAGTAGGTGGGCAGACATCAGGGTCTGAGTACCACACCAGTTGGGGGAACGAGGTGGCTGCTTTCTGGTGGGTGGGTGAGGGGTAGGAGTCACCTTGGGAGACCATGGGAGTGGAGCCTTTGTGGTCTGTGCTCACAACTGTCTTCTTCTTAGGCCGACTTAACATCACCTACCCCATGCTGTTCAAACTGACCAACAAGAATTCAGACCGCATGACGCACTGCGGCGTGCTGGAGTTTGTGGCTGACGAGGGTATCTGCTACCTTCCGCACTGGGTGAGTGGCGCTTGTAGGTCTCTGTGAGGCTGTGTCCCTACATGGCCTGTTGTAGGTCGTCCCCCAGCCATGAGCATGAAATCCTGGCTCTGCCTGCCACTAGGCAGTGTGGCCTGTTTCTCATGTCAGATGGGGTGAAACAGTGAGAGCACTCCAAGGACTTAGTCAGTCAGAGACATTTGTCAGAAGGGTATTGTGCCCGGCGCTGTGTTCCTTCCTTATACCTTATGTCTTCACTGTAAGTACACAGATGTCCCCTCTCGTGCTGTTTTCCTGAGGATTGTCCCCTTAGCCGTACTGGGTAACCTGTGATTTCCTGTCAGGCTTTTGTCATGGGTTTTTGAAGTGATCCTAGTACAGATTTGTAGGGTGCCCCCACCACATGCCATTTTCTCCCCTCATTCTATTTCAGCGTTTTTCTTTTTTTGTTTGCCTGAACTCAATCCTGAAGCATACAGTGTTATTGCCATGGGAACAGTGCCTCAGAGAGGCCAGCATTTTAGGGAGGGCTCTTCAGGGGCCATCAGTCAGGTAGAATACAAGGTGTGATCCCCGTCCCCACCCCCGTACCATGGATGCTTGAAAAGCACACAGGAGTGTAGTTGGGTCTGTGCTGGGGCAGACCATGTTCCCAGGGCACACAAGTGAGACCTTTGGGCTCAGCCCATACCCCCATACCCCTCAGATCAGTCCCTTATAAATGTGAGCAGTTAAAAGCCCTTATATTTGCCTGAAGGAGCCCTGGTGGCACAGTGAGTTAGGCACTGGCTACTAACCAAAAGGTCAGCAGTTTGAACCCACCAGCCACTTCAAGGGAAAAGGTGAGGCAGTTTGCTTCCATAAAGTTTGCCAGCCTCAGAACCCTATGTAGTGTGACTATGCAATGGACTGACTCGGCAGTGGTATGTTGTTGGTTGGGTGTGTCAGTAGGTGGTAGTGCTGGGAAGTGGCCACTTCATTTCATGGCACATTCTTTTTACTTTTCAGATGATGCAGAATCTACTATTGGAAGAAGGGGGTTTGGTTCAGGTGGAGAGCGTTAACCTACAAGTGGCCACATACTCCAAATTTCAGCCTCAGAGCCCTGACTTCTTGGACATCACTAACCCCAAAGCAGTGTATCCTTTCAAACAAGGAGGATCCCTCTAGGAAAGGAGGCTGATGGGCATTCCACAGAAGCTCTTGTTGACTGTGTGCCTCTTTTGGTGACCACACATTTGTGATTGAAGTTAAGATCTGTTAGTGATGCTTCGAGCCAGCCTGTCTGCTGTGGGGCTGGGGGCCTAAACAAAAGCACTTGATTCCCAGACCTCTTCTGGCTCTCTTTGTAGACATTCCTTGGTAGAGGAAAATTGAACCCCTCTTAGAAGCAAAATCTAGCATAAAGCAAGGTGTGTGCAAATAAGTTCTGGTAGAAGGAGGGACCACTCATTTTCACTTCTTCTCCTTTGTGGGACTCCTGGTGTTTCTGCTCAGCCATTAACTGTCCAGTTGCAGCATCTGCCCAAGATCAGGGTTGGTTCACTCCCAAACTAGGTAGAATTGACCTAGTACATCTTTTCTGTCTCAGCAATAAGAAATCAAACGTTTGGGGTTCTAATGGTTTTTGTTTCCTAGCTTCTCCTCGGAAACACCAGGGTCACTGTGGGTCAGAGCCAACTTGACGGCACTTAATAACAACAAAACTTAAGCCCTACTTGTAAGAAAGAGAAGGCTTCAGAAAGTTCATGGGGAAATTCCATTATCTTTTAATTCTATTTTTCTACGAACTTTTTGAAGCCCCCTTGTATATTTGCAATTTTAGGAAACTGGGTAAGGAACGTACTATGTTTGCACCAAGATTGAAATCTCTAGTTGTTGTTGTTGTTATGTGCCGTGGAGTCGGTTCTGACTCATAGCGACCCTGTACAGGGTTTCCAAGGCTGTAAATCTTTACGGGAGCAGACTGCCTCATCTTTCTCCCGCGGAACCGCTGGTAGCTTCAAACTGCTGACCTTGCAGCTCGCAGCCCGATTCGTAACCACTATACTACCAGAGCTTAGGAGGCCCCAATTGGGTTTATTGAGAGTATGGTATAGAGTAGCCTTCCATCTAACTTCCTTTTTTTAATTCATGCTTGGAAAAAACACACACACAATATAATTTAACAACAGAGGTAGAAAGGAAAAAAGAAAATGCCTGCCTGTACAATCTCCCCAGGCCCACTCCCAGGAGGAAGCCAAGGCTGACCCTGACCTGGACACAGAGTGGCTGAGCTGCCCACTCTGCTCGTGTCATGGTTGGCAATGGAGGCTTCCTGTCCTGTGGGAAGTCTGGCTGACGTGTCCTTAGCTCTCTCCTCTGGATCACTTGGTGGTCTGTCAGTGGCCAGAGTGGGCGCCCCTCTGGTTTTCTCGGGTTTTATATGTGTTGGGATCCAAACTGAACTGGTTATTTTCAAGGCTGTCTCTTTAGGTGGTTTTAATGAACCTATAATTCATTCATTTCTGTTTTCCTCTCTGCTCCCATAGACTTTTTTTTTTTTTTTTTTTCCATGTTTTACTGTGAATTATGTGATAGTTTACATGGGAGAACATTAGCTTTACATTAATCCTATCGTCTATCGTTACATTGCCAAGTTACAATTCCCTCCATGCATTATCAACCAGCCAAATGGTACACCTTGCAGGCCTGCTCTCTGGTCTTCAGCACACAGCCCCTCTCCCTCTCTGAGTCTAGAATCCCAAGCCACTCCATCTCTTCACGTTGTCATCTCTGCCTCCATCATTGGCGTCATTGTTTCTCTGGTAGGGTCCCACACTCTGCTCTTCTCCCTTGATGGTCCCAGGGCCCTCCGCTCCTGGACTGCAAAGTCAACCACTCCTCTCCTTTTGCTACATAACGTCTACCTTTATATTTCTAACCCTCACAGTCTCCTGATAGTAATTATTCACTATTGTACCATATGAGTGCTATCCACATCTCCTTTCATCAGTCCCACCCAGACAGATTGGATACTACTCAGTGGAGATTCTACCATCCTCTGGATCTAAGCTCCCTCTTGAAAGCTTATAAGCCAGTCACTTCTTGCCTTTGTAGCACCCCCCATTTTGGGTAGCCAGTGTCCAAGTTGCCCAGTCCTGTCTATCCTGTGTATTGAGGGAGTGGGAATGATCCTTGCTGTAAAGATTTGTTCCTTCCTTTGAGCTACTGCATCCATAGGTGTAGGTCAAGTTCATCAAATTATATCAGATTACTCTTTTTTTTTTTCCTCCTTTCTTCTAGTTGAGCTCTGACAAGCCATTGAAACTAGGTCAAGTGGGTATTATCTTTAAGTGTGGGTGTTCTTGTGCATATGCCCTCTTTTTTTTATCAGCTGGATGCTTCATTTCCACTCTAGTTCTCTGTGGCTGTGTCACTGACTCTGGGCCCAGGAGTTCCCCAGGTCTTGCCAAACTGCTGGCCAACCAGGTCTCCACCCAGGATCACAGGAGTGTTAAACTTGGTTGGACTTAGCTTGCAGCTTCATTGCTTTTTTCCCCTTACTTCCCCTTATCGGTGACCAACGTGGTCACCAGTCAGAGAACGTGTCTGCTTGTGTATTCCCATTGAGTCTCAGTCTTGGATTGGAAGGGGGTTTGCCCTGAGGGAACCCGACCACTTGGCTCAATGTCTCCTAGGTGAGCAACTTGCTTGTTCTTGTAGTAGTCAGTCGGACTGCCGTTATTGTTTTGTATTTTTCCTGTCAGTCTTTATTTCAAAAAGTATCTTCTGTTCTAGCCACTCCAAGCTGGTCTGCTTGCCCTTTCCAGTGGAAATTTCCCACCTCAGAAGCATCTGGATGGGTTTCCGAATTCCACCTATGGGCTTATGTAATGCAGAGGCTCCACAGGAAGCCTCCTTCACTGGGCATGTTGTGGCCCCATTTTAGGTATTCCAATCAATTATAAGCAGAAGACGGACTTAGAAGCTTTCTATGGTGATATTTCTGGCTATTCCTTTCTCTTCCCCTCAAGTGTCTATTTTATAATGGCATGCCAGGGAAACTGTCGGGGTCTGACCTCGACATAGTTGTCACGCGTGTTTGGTTCACGAGGAGGGGAGATCCAGCGGCGATAGGGATAGTGAAAGAATACACAGACAAACAGAAGAAGGGAGACAATGAGGCACCCCAAAGCCAGGGTGGATACATCACTGGTGGGCAGGCTTGGGACTACAGGCATCATGGCCTCTGCAGGCAGCGACTCACTGCCCTGCAATCTTTAATGCATGCCTTCCAACCCGTAATGCACCACAATCTTTACTCCATGCCTTCCAACCAGTAATGCACACCTGGGGAGGCTCGGGCCTCTGTTTTATTTAGGGGAGGAGTTTCACACCAAGCTGGGAGGGACTAAAACAGGATACAGCTAACATCAGTAATTTTCCAGACATTCAGGTAACTTTACATTGTACTTCACTGGTTCGAATCCCAGGCCAGCAACTTGGATTCTCAGGCCCAATTAACATATCTATAGCCCCTGAGGTCAGTTGGGGGAAGTTGAGAGTTCTGCAGGAGACTCCCAGGTGAATGGGCTGCACCTGGAAAAGGGATTAGGGAGGATGGGTTCTTTGTCTATAGAACAAAGAACCGAGAAGTAGCTAAGATATTTTTAGTTAATCCTTTGGAGAAAGGTTTAACCTTGCAACCTTTAGTCTTGGCTTTAGGAAAATATCACATTTATCTGTGGATTTTCAAAGGCTCCAGTGTATTAATTTAATATATATACCTGAATATTAAGATTAAAGCAATTTTCCATTAACCGCCAGTGGCCTCATTTGTTACACTCAGCCCTAGAGGGCCTCGAACCTCTGACTAGTTTTACACGGTCTGCAACAGGAAACCAAGATTCAAAAGACACCAAGTATCTTAACATTATTTCCCCCCTTTTGCCCATTCAACCATGTCTCAATCCCTGTATCCCAGAGCCCTGTTGTTCCAAGGTTATGTATACGTCATTCTTTACCACTGTCCCACTTAGCCCATGCAAACCTGCCTAATTGTTTTTCCATCCACTTTGTTCTTCCATTCTCCTCCCTCTTCTTGTGTATTGCCCCCCTCCCCAGCACCCAAACTATCCTGTGTCTATTCCCTACTATGTGCTTCACCTTCCCTTCCCTTCCCTAAATCACCTCTCACATGCTGGTAACCAGCAAAGAGCCGCCCCCCGCCCCTTTAGTATGGGTTCTTTTTCTTAGTCTTTTACAATAGTGGTCCAGTGCAGTATTTCTCCTTTTGTGACTGACTAATTTCACTTAACATAATGTCCTCAGGGTTCATCCATGTTATGTGCTAGCTTACAGCTTCCTTGTTCTTCAAGGTAGCATAATATTCCATTGTGTGTATATACCACAGTTTGTTTACTATGAACATTGGTGTGCATATATCTACTCATGTTATGGCTCGTATTTCTTGCGGGTAAATACCAAGTGAGGAATTGCTGGATCACAAGGTATTTCTAATTCCAACCTTCTGAGGAAGGTTGTGTTTCAGAGAGGTTGGACCATTTTGCAGTCCCACCAGCAATGCAAGAGTGTCCCAGTCTCCCCATACCCACCAGCCTTTACTGCACTCTACTTTTTTGATCTTTGCTGTTATTGCTGGTATGAGATGATATCTCATTGTTGTTTTGATTTGCATCTCTCTAATGGCTAGTGATCAAGAACATTTCTTCATATGTTTATTGGCTGCCTGGATCTCCTTCTTGGTGAAGTGCCCGTTCATGTCCTGTGCACGTTTTTAAATTGGGTTACTTGTCTTTTTCTTGTAGAGGTGTTGTAATTTCCTATATATTTTAGAAATGAGTCATTGCAAAAGTTTTTTTTCCATTCTGTAGGTTTCCTTTTTACTCTTTTGATGAAGTCTTTTGATGCACATAAGTTTTTAATTTTTAGTATGTCCCAATCATCTATTTTGTCTACTTTTGTTTGTGTAGTTTTCAAGATTTTTGGTAGTCTGTGTATTCCCTGAATTACAGCCCTCACATTTGTCCCTATTTTTTCGTTGATGGCCTTCATAATTCTGGGATTCACATTTAGGTCTTTAATCCATGGTTTTTGTATAAGGCTTGAGTTAAATAAAGGTCTTGTTTCAATCTTTTACATATTGCTTTCCAGTTCTGGCCCCACCATCTGTTAAAGAGACTATCTCCTCCTCATGCGACATATTTAGGTACTTGGTTAAAAATCAGTTGGCTGTTCCCATAGACTTTTAAATCAACTTTATGAAGGCATCATTTACAGACTATAAAATGCAGTGTTCTGAATTTGATAAATGTAAGTTGGTGTTGGGTGCTGTTGAGTCAGTTTTGACCAATAGTAACTCCATATAAGAGACTAGAACAGTCCCATAGGGTTTCCTAAGCTAGTCTCTGTATGGGAGCAGACCACTAGGTGTTTGTCCAGAGGAGTCATTAGGTGGGTCCAAATTGCCAGCCTTTTGATTAGTAGTCATCAAAAACTTCAGATCACTGCTGTCTGTTTGACTCTGATTCATTGTGAGCCTACAGAACAGAGTGGAACTGCTCCCTAGAGTTTCCGAGACTAAATCTTTATGGCAGCAGACAGCCTCATCTGTCTCTCACATCTGGTGGGTTTGAACTGCTGACTTTGTGGTTAACAGCCCAATGCATAACCCTCTGTGCCATGAGAGCCCCTGTTAAATGTATACACCCATATAATCAAAATGTTTCCATCTTTCTCAAAGACCTATTTGTGCCCCTCCCAGGTTAGTTTCCATCCCACCCCTGGGCCCCAACATCATCTGGCCTCTTTGCATCTTTATAGATCAGTCTTTCTTATGGTTTTAAGTGAGTGGAATCTTACAGTTTATAGTCTGCTGTAGCTGGCTCTTCCCTCAGCACAACATTTGTGAGATGCTGCTGCTGCTACTGCTGCTTTGTGCTGTTGAGTCAGTTCCAACTTGTAATGAGCCTTTGTAGGGTTTTCTAGGCTGTAATCGTTATGAGAGCAGAAAGCCTCATCTTTCTCCCTTGGAGCAGCTGGAGGATTCGAACTGCTAACCTTGTGGTTAGCAGCCCAGCGTATAACCCACTACACTACCAGGGCTCCTTAATTGTTGGATGCATCCATATCTTTGGGTATGTTAGGAATTTGTTCATTGTATCTAGCTATTTGTTTTTCGTATCAGCATGGTGGCTTATGTCCACCTAGTGCCCATCCTCTGAAAACCCTCCCAGAAACTTGTTCCACTTTTAAGGTACCCAGCTTGCTGTGTTACCTTGACAATTATGTACCTGCAGATTAGAAAATGCATTGAGAAACTTTGCATGTCTGACCACCGGGGACGTGATTGCCATCAACTACAATGAGAAGGTGAGAAGCTCAGCCACTGGGTAGAGCAGGACCTTCCTAAAAGACCACCTGACACCCAGAGCAGAAACAGCAAAAGCAGATTTTAAATCGTAAGAAAATCAGTGTTAGAATGTTTTAGTACAGTTCACATTCGTTATGTGTAAAACTTTCAAAGAAATTAAAACATGGAAAACTGAGCAAGATAAGTACGAAAATTTGAAAAGTAGAGTTTAAAATACCAGATGAGACAGTTGTAAAGGAATAATAGACTGGAAGAAGAATCTGGAGAAATAACTTAAGAGTTATTAAGACGAGTTGGTAAAGGAGAGATGGGGAGATTGAAGATGATGAGAAAGAAAGTCAGACATACTCTTAATGGAAACTTCAGCAGAAGAGAATGGAGGAGTGCTGGTATTTTAAAGAGATAGTCACTGAATTGAAAAGCAAACATTTATTTTGTTGTTGAGGATATACGCAGTGAAACATACACCAATTTCCGTTTCTGCATGTACAATTTAGTGACAATGATTACACTCTCCAAGTTTTGCAGTCATTCTCGCCCTCTTTTCTGAGTTATTCTCCCATTGACATAAACTCACTACCTCCTAAGGTTCCTGTCTGATCTTTCGAGTTGCTGTTGTTTATTTGAGCCTATTGAGATAGTTCTTAAAAGCATAATGCTCACTGTTGTTTAGTGTCGTCAAGTCAGTTTCGACTCATAGTGACCCTGTTGAGGGTTTCCAAGATTTTAAATCTTTGCAGGTGTAGAAAGCCTCATTTTTCTCCGTGGAGCAGGTTCATACCACGGACCTCGCGGTTCACAGTCCATTGGAGCCACCACACTCCTCGTGATGCTCATGATAGATCTTATTTTATTACATTATTGTTTAGTTTTAAAAAGACTTAAGGGGATATTTTTTGTTTAAAGTTTAAAGGCACTAGATTCAGGGGTTCATGTAATTTCCATGGCTCCCGAATATCTGGAGTCTATGATGATTTGAAATTTTGTTCTACATTTCTTCCTTTTGATTTCTCTCTGTGGAATCTTTTGTCAAAATGTTCAGTTATGGTAGCTGGGCACCATCCTGTTCTTGTGGTCATGGCAAAGAAGGCAGTTGAATAACCCATAGTGAGTATATATATGTACACATACCCATGTTCATCGCAGTACCGTTCACAACTGGAAAAAGATGGAGACAGCCTAAATGCTCATCAATGGAAGAACAGTTGAACAAACTCCGGTATATACACACAATAGAATGCTACACAACACTGAAGAGTAATGGTGAATCTGTGACACATCTTAAAAATGGGTGAACCTGGAGGACATTCTGCTGAGTGAAATTAGTCAATTACAAAAGGACAAATATATGAGACCACTACTGTAAAAAGGAGCACTGTTAGTATAGTGGTTACGAATTGGGCTGCGAATCGCAAGGTCAGCAGTTTGAAACTACCAGCTGCTCCACGGGAGAAAGATGAGGCTTTCTGCTCCTGTAAAGATTTACAGCCTTGGACACCCTGTTCAGGGTTGCTATGGGTCAGAGCTGACTCCACGGCACTTAACAACAACATCGTAGTTACAGGGAGTATAATAGCATACCAAACAGGATTAATCAATAAGAGTCACACATATTGTAATGAAACTACAGATATAAAATAACAAATAAGAGAGATCAGCAGCTCTTGCAGCTACTTAGAGAAGAACAGCAAATAGCTGGCCTCTGAATAGCAACAGTTACAGCCAGAAAGGGCAGAATGTCATCAAAGTCCTGGGAGAAAGTAACTCACCAGAAGTAAAATTGGAGGATGAGGGTACAAGAAAGATATTTTCAGATAAACGGAATCTGAGAGTTGTTGTTTCTGAACCAGTGGAATTTGAAAAGCACGCAGAATCACACCCCTCCCCAGCTAGCCAGGGCCAAATGGATCTTGAGGTCCCTGCATTGGGCCTGTGGCCCCACCATGCCTTATATGTGCCCCTCCCTCCATTCAGCCCAAGGCTTGGCAGTGACTGACGGCAGCTCGTCTACAAGTTGAAAACCAAAACGAAGCCAAACCCACTACCATCAAGTTGATTCCAACTCAGTGAGCCTATTAAAGCTTCTGTGAAAATCACAGAATGATGTCCCTCCTGTCTTGTAGGATGGGACTCTTCACTCTTATGATCTGGAACCTGCTTCTGCTTCTACTTGACTCCTAAATTTTCTTCCTCTAGCCCAGAGTCCTGATGTGGTATTGTAGGATAAGCACTGGCAGCAGTCCTACAGCTAACTGCAAGGTCGGCAGTTCAAATCCACCTTGGGAGAAACATGAGGCTTTCTGCTCCTGTTAAGATTTATAGCATCAGAAACCCAATGCAGGGCCTGTTTGAGTGGGAATTGACTGAATGGCATCGGGTTTTGCTTTTGAGTTTCATGATCATGTGGAGGAGCCCATGGGGTGCTGTGGGTTAAACATTGGGCTATTAACTGAAAATTCGGCAGTTTGAATCCACCAGATGTGCAGCAGGCGAAAGATGAGGCTGTCTGTTTCAGTAAGGATTACTTGCCCTAAGGAATACTTCTACTTTGAAACCCTAAGAATTAGTTCTCCTCTGCCTTATAGGGTCACTGAGTTGGAATCAACACCGTGGCATGGCAGTAGATTAGGTTTATGGTCATATACAAATGGAGCCCTGGTGGCATTGTTAAGTGCTTAACTTCTAACTGAAAGGTCAACAGCCAGCCAGTCCATAAGAGAAAGATGTGGCTGGCTGCTTCTGTAAAGATTATAACGTGGGAACCCTATAGCTTTATTCTGTCCCCTCAGTGGATGGTTTGGTTTGTTGTTACTATGATCATGTATTAGAGAATTCTGAATTGTAAAAAACATCCATTTCCCCAAGTTTTCTATACTGATTCTGTAGAATCAATACAAGTGCAATAAAATACTAAGTAGTTTTTTGTGGTGCTTGACAAACTGAAGAAGAGCTAAGTTGTCAGACACTGAAAGAAGTGGAATATGGGGAGGCATCTGGCCCTGCAAAATCAAAAGTTGTATCCTAAAGCTCCAGTAATTAAGGTTCCAGTATGCTGCTGGTGCTGGAATAAACAAGCAAACCAATGGAACATGACCCAAACCAAACCTATTGCCATGGAGTCGATTCCACCTCACAGAAACCCTGTAGGACAGAGTAGAACTACCCCATAGTGTTTCCAAGGCTGTCAATCCTATGGAAGCAGACTGTCTCGTCTTTCTCCCAATGAGCAGCTAGCTAGTGGGTTCAAACCATTAACCTTCCAGTTAAAAACCCAATGCTTAACACGTGTCACAAGGGTTCCTTGGCATGATGGAAGTGTCTTGGAAACCAATCCTTAACAAATGAATCTCAGTACAGGACAGAGGTGGTATTATGGGACTAGGGTGGAGCTAGTTTTACGATCCACTAATTAATCGTGATGTGTAGTTTGCAAACACCACTGCAGAGAAACCTGACCACACATGCCAGGAGACATGTAGATGACCATTCATAGCAGCATCAACTGTTCATAGCAGCGTCCTTAGTAACGACAAGACAATTGGAAATATCCCAGTTGGAGAGTGGATAAATGCTGACGTTTTCACACAATGATGTACTTTTTGGAGCTCCTAGTAAATAATCATAAAACTTTTATAGATGAGTTGGGGATATGAGGAAAATGAGCTTTCTTACCACTTTTGCAGGAGAAAGATGAGTCTGTCTGCTCCTAAAAAGATTGACAGCCCCAGAAACCCTATGGGTTGCTGTGAGTTGGAATCAATTCCATGGCAGTGGGTTTGTCCTGCTTTGGTACCCCTCTTCCTGTTTAGGGTTTTCAGTGGTGGGGCTACCCAGACTGTTTTAAAATGACATGCTCCTGGTAAAAGGTAAGAACCTGAAATACACAGTAAAGAGGAATTATGGCCACAGATCCTTGCCATACAATATGTATGATCCTCCTAGACAAATAACAACATGACTGGTTTTTAATATTTACTTCCTGCTGGCAAGTTAGTATTGCACTGTATACTTTATTTACACGTGAGTAAATAAAATGCATTTAGTCAGTTGTAACTGATAAGCATTGTGAGTGTATACTATTAGTAATGTTGAATGTTCTTAGTACTCATATGTCTCCTTTGAGTACTTAGCTAATTATTTTACATAGAATAAAGTTTGACAAGTTAACTTGATATATTATTGTCTTATTTGAACCATATGTGGGGAAAAGAGAGGTCCTGGTGGCATAATACATTAAGCTTTGGACTGCTAACCAAAAGGTCACTGGTTTGAACCCAGCAGCCATTCCACAGAAAAATGAGGCAATTTGCTCCCTTAAAGATGACAGCTTCCAAGACCCTAGGGAGCAGTTCTGCTCTCCCCATAGGCATCACTATGAGTCGGAATTGGCTTGATGGCCGTGGATTTGGTCTTTTGGCTTTGGTGGGACAAGGCTTCTATTGAGAAAGATATAAAGAGCCCATCCTGCCATAGTAGCCTTGTCAAAGCAAGAGGGGTAGGTGAGAGGACTGTGGGTGTGGATGATGTGCAGGTGCTGGGCTGAACCTCAGGGCTGTGACAAAACTCTCACTGACTCCTGTGTTCTTCCTCCAGATCTACGAACTGCGGGTGATGGAGACCAAACCCGACAAGGCTGTGTCCATCATTGAGTGTGACATGAACGTGAGTGGCTGTGTGTGCAGTGAGCTCAGGACAGAGGGTGTGCATGGTGGCCCTGCAGGCCAGTGCCCCAGGAGGCTGTTGCATGGTCACTGAGAGGAGTTAAGCGGACACATCACAGCGAGGCCAGGCTGATTCTGCCCCCAGTGCTGAAATGATTACATCCAGGGAGCCTTCAGACCTCAAACCACCTCGGATAACATCTGCAGGCAGGGATGTTAAACAAAGATGGCCAGTATCCAAAGGTTACAGGTGTATATTGTCTGAAATGACAAAATGATAAGAATGGAAGACAGATTAGTGGTTACCAGGGGCTAGAGGTGGGGGTAGGGGAACATCATCCCAAGGAGACTAGGATCTTACTGTGTCAGAACTATTTTCTATCTTGACTCTGAAGGTTTCTACTGGCCCTACTTGGGTGATGAACTGTATAGCATTAATGCATGCACACACACAAGCATATATAAAACTAAGGGTTCTGAATCTGATTGGTGGATGGTATCACTGTGAATATTCTGGTTGTGATTAGTCATCCTATAATTTTGTAAAATGTGATACTGTTGAGGGAAACAGCCCAAGTGTCCAAGGGCTTTCTGGGTATTATTTCTTCCAAGTGCATGTGGATCTGCAGGGATTTCAAATAAGAAAAAAAGATAAGGGAGCTGCAGTGTAGGCCGGGCCTCATGATTTTCTTTCTCATCTTGGAAATGCAGGTAGACTTTGATGCTCCCTTGGGCTACAAAGAACCTGAAAGACAAGTGCAACATGAGGAGTCAACAGTAAGTTGTTTCTGCAGCATCGTCTTGACCAGTTATGCCCTCTGTCCTTTTGAAAAAAATGTCTCTTTGAGAATGTGGGGCCTCACCCCGGGCTCATGTTTTGTTGGTGCTGATGCTGATTCTACTGCTGACATTGATGCTGATACCAGTTCTGACACTGACGTGGATGCACTCACCCTCCCTGCTAGCCTCTCCCCAGGGAAGCAGTGCATATTTGCTATGAGCGAATGGCAACAGCAATGGATGTGGGAGGCTTCCGGGAAAAGCTAGGGTCTTGCTCACCTGTCTTTTGTCTTTGGCAGGACGTTGAAGCTGACCATGGCAGCTATGCTGGAGAGCTAGGCTTCCGCGTGAGTAGCAGGCCATCTGTTGGTTGTCCTCTTACCCCTCTCTGTGACCACTTGCTTGGCCTTTGGGTGTCCATTCACATGTGGATCTGATACTTGTGTCAGCCCCCAAGCCCTTGTACATCCACGCTCTCCTTTAGCCCTCCCAGCAGCTCTGGAAGGCAAAACTAGCTTTTTTTTTTGTCCTTTAAAAATCTCTATGCTACTAAAAAGTTGAAATGTTAAGTGCCATCAAATCGGTTCTAACATAAAGTTGGATTTACGAGGTAGTACACCTTTGCAGGTATAGGAGCTCTGGTAGCGTAGTGGTTACGAATCGGGCTGCAAACCGGAAGGTCAGCAGTTCGAAACTACCAGCTGCTCCGCGGGAGAAAGATGAGGCGATCTGCTCCCGTAAAGATTTACAGCCTCGGAAACCCTATTCAGGGTCGCTATGGGTCGAAACCGACTCGACGGCACTTAACAACAACAACAACACCTTTGCAGGAGCAAAAAGCCTCATCTTTTCCCCACAGAGCAACTGGTGGGCTTATACCGCCATCCTTGTGGTTCCTAGTCCAGTACTTACTGTACAAAGCCACCATACTCCCAAAAAGTTGCAATAAGTACAATGACAAGACATAATGCCTTCACATAGATTCAGTAAGTGTGACCATGTTAGCTTCCTCTCAAAAAATGCCCTCCCTTTTGAAAGTAAGTTGCAAGCATAACCCTTCATTGTCACAGGCCAGGCTCTTGCAAAATAGATCTTGGGGAGGTGTGCCGGAAATTAGGGGTGGGCTTGGGCAGATGAGGAAATGGAGCTGCAGTGCGCTAACAGTTCGCTAGGCCCCCGTGGAAGCGGGAGCTGCCTTGGCACTGCATTGACTGGAGGCCAGATCTCTAGCCAGTTTCGGCTCTGAGCCATTGGGGGCAGCGGGCAGGGGGCAGAGCCTTTGGCCAGGTGGCAGTGGAGGCGTCAGGTGTCACTCCCCTGCATCCACCCTTGCAATAGACTTTCTCACATCAGCCTTCCTGCTTTTTTTCCCTTTGGCCATCTAGGCCTTCTCTGGCTCCGGAAACCGACTGGACGGAAAGAAGAAAGGTGTCGAGCCCAGCCCCTCCCCCATCAAGCCAGGAGACATTAAAAGGTGAGTCCCCTGGCCCTACTTCCACAGATGCTTTGTCCTCAGCCTGGGTGGGCCTGTACCAGACCTCTAGATAGGGCACCTATTCTCTCTTCAGAGACAAAGCCTGAGTCAGTGAGTCTGTGGGGGAAACCCCTCTCCTTTGTCCCTGGGGTGGGAGGCAGGGGCTGGGACTCCCAGAGAAGTCCCGTTCCCCTCCTCACCTCCCTTCCAAGGCCACTGCAGGCCATCCTCCTATGCCTCTGCCCATTCCCAGGTGGCCTTCTTGAGCTGTGTGCCTGCCAGATCTCTTCTGCTACACGCCATCCTAGTTCCCCAGGCATCACCTACCTATTTCCCTGACACTGAATCATTGCTCTAGTCACATGATCTCAGCTTTCCTAAAACAAGAAGGCAGGAGCTGCCTTCTTCAATCTGTGTCTCTTGTTGGATCAAAGAGCACAACTTAGCAGCTCTCCTCCTCTGGCCGCTGTCCTGGTGTTGGTCCAAACCACATCGCTGCTGGTGAGTTGATGTCAACTCATAGCAACTAGTAGGTAGCGCAGTGGGTTAAATGGCTACTCCTGGTGTGTGGCACTGTGGGTTCATGGACTGCAAAGTCAGTTTGAACTTCAAAGTTGATGGTTCAAGCTCACCATTCGCTCCTTGGAAACCCTCTACTGGGTTACTATGGGTTGGAACCGACTCGACAGCACTTAACAACAACTTACCTCAAGGTTGGCAGGTCAAACCGACTAGTTACACTGTGGGAGGAAGTTGAGGCCTTCTGCTTTTATGAAGATTTACAGCCTCAGACACCCTAAGGGCAGTTCTGCCGTGTCTTAGCTGGTGGGTATGACTCAGAATTGACTGCACAGAAATGGGAGGAATCCTTAAGACGAACCCTGGCAACACAGTGGTTAAGCACTCAGCTACTAGAAATCAGTGGTTCAAACTCCCTGGAAAGATGAGGCTGACTACTCCTGTAAAGACTGTATGTCAGATGACGAGGGTGGTAGAAGGACCTATGGTAGTTCTCTGCTGTGCATCAGACCCGAGAGGACACAGAGACGTTTTACTCCATCTCGTAAGGAGTGCAGTGAGTATGGTAAGAATGCAGCCGGCCCGCAGGATCCAGGAAGAAAGTAGGATGGGGACAGCAAGGGTCTCTCCTGCCTCTAGGTAACCCCAGATGCAGGCCAGGTCCAGGGTCTGCAGACCTTCATTCATGACAGCACTGATGCCAAAGGAGGAAACCCATGACCTGGAACCTGCCTGCCTCCCTCCTAGACAGGTGCTGGGAGTGCTCAAGGGTAGGCCAGAGATGGCCTTCAAAGTGAGGGCCACCGAAAGGACACATCCCCAAGGTCAAAAGTGGCAGCTTCTCCTCGTTCTCCTGGAACTGATGCTTCTCTTCTTTTTTACAGAGGGATTCCCAATTACGAATTTAAACTTGGTAAAATCACTTTCATTAGGAATTCCCGACCACTAGTCAAAAAGGTGGAAGAGGTGAGTGTTTTTCATTGGTGATGAAGATTTTGTTTGCTCATGACTGGAGAATTCAAACTGTTCTGTTTCTGTGATTCCGTGCCACCATTCCTGGGGCCCGCTGCCCCTGGTTTCAGGGCTTCTAGAGACTCTGTGTGGTATGTACGTGCTCCCATGTCACTCAGTGTCCTGGGGACTCCAGGCTCTGTCACCAGAGAGCTGGGTGCCTGCATAGATCTCTTTCTTGTAAATGTCTGACAGACACATTGCTGTGTGGTGTTCCTCCACACTGCAGACTGAGTTGCTGGCTAGTTTCCATGCGCAATACCTTCCAGCTGAGTGGGTAGCTGAAAGGGAGTGAGGGGAGGACTGACCACACAGCCGACTCTGGTAACCTGTCCAGCACCCAGTCCCGCTTTCTGGGGTACAGCTGTCAGACACAGGTTCTGGAAGTAGGGGAGCCATGCCCAATTTATAGCTGTGAGGTGGCCCCAACAGTTAGAGTTGCTTTTCCAAGTCACAAAAGCAGTGATAGATGGAGGGCATGACATCACCTTGTCTGCATGACATCACCCATGACTGGTGACCATAGCGACATAGATGTATTCATAGAGTCCTTGTTAGGTGTTCCGAAAACCAAACTCACTCCCATGGAATCAATTCTGACTCATAGCAACCCTGTAGGACATAGTAAAATAGCTCCCTATAGTCTAAGACTCTAAATCCTGACAGAGGAGCAGACTGCGTCATCTTTCTCCCACAAAGCGGCTGGTGGGTTCGAACTGCTGACCTTTTGGTTAGCAGCCCAGTGCTTTAGAATGTTGCATTAGGAGGGGAGCAGGGACAGAATGAATGTTGGGGGTGCAGGATAATCGGCATATATATAGGAGCAGAGCAGCCCTCCTTCCCGAGGGAAAAAGTCAACCGATGAGTGTAACCCTGACTAGCAATAATGGCATGGGAAAACGGGTCATTGTACCATTTAGAAACTCTGTTTTCTAAGGGTCAGAATAAAAAGTAAACCCTCTGCTGGCAGGAGAAGAAAAGTCCAAAACTCTTTCAAGGGGAACTTCTGGGCCAGTGAAATTCAAGGCAGAGAGGTCAGCTCAGAAGGTTATAATGACTATTTCTGGAGATTCCAAAGGGGTCATCTTGATACGTTTTCTCCAAGGATATATAGGACAACTGTGTGGTATTATTAAAAAGAAGTTTTAAGAAAGTTGAAAACTGCACTGGTGAGAAAAAAAGCCAGGCAAGTTGTGGCCAGGAGTTGGTTTCCATTGCAACACGGTTCCTGCTCTTTCTCCCATGGCCGCAAGGGCCAACCGAAGAGAATTTCCTTGGGAAACCTTACCCGTTCACTATGGCCCTCAACTTGCTCCTTCAGACTTCTTTTTGTTCTCAAAATGCAAAGAACATTCCAAAGGAATATAACTTGAGTCTCTTGAGAATGCTAAAACTGCTATTTTGATGTGTTACAAACCACAGAGCACAGAATTCTTGGGAACAGTTCAATAGATGGAAACACCACCTGCAGAAGTGTGTAGACCAAACTGGAGAAGATGTTGAGAGTAGCTTCCCATTTTGCTAGTTTTGTTTGGTTCTGTGATTTGATAGTGATACTTTTTGACTTATACTCACATATTAAAACCTTAAAAATACATACGCCCAGGAAATCTACTTCTAGGAAAAACCAGGACTGTCTACAGACACATTGTTGTTGTTAAGTGCCCTCGAGTCGATTCCAACCCATAGTGACCCTGTATAGGGTTTCCAAGGAACAAGTGGTGAGCTTGAACCACCAACCTTGCAGTTCAAACTGACTTTGTAGTCTGACACATTAGCTCCACAGACACATTAGACATGGTGATTTACAATACTGAAAGTCTGGGCTTGAGGGAGTCATGCAGTGGTGGAGACTGATTCAAATGTGAAGGAGTTTTTGTAGCCTTTAGAGGTATCATTGGTGTTGTTTGAGTCAGTTCCAACTCATAGGGACCCTATGTACTACAGAATGATAACACTGCCCGGTCCTGCACCATCCTCATGATCATTACTATATTTGAGTCCACTGTTAGAATCACTGTATCTATCTCCTTGAGGGTCTTTCTTTTTTTCACTGACCCTCTACTTTGCCAAGCATGATGTTTTTCTCCAGGGACTGGTCCCTTCTGATGCCATGTTCAAAGTACACAACACAAAGTTTACCCATCCTCGCTTCTAAGGAGCATCCTGGCTTTCCGCCTTCCAAAACAAATTTGTTCATTCTTCTGGATATTAAATAGGAAATTCATTACAGTTCATATAATCATATACAGAAAAGTAACTAGACGGCTTTATGTCAGTTAGGGGAGTTTGAGTGGTTTCTACTCTTGGTGTATTACACATTTTCTTTACATCAAATCTGTAATGCTTTTGTAAAAGGATATATTTTCCACTGAAGACAAAAGCTGTGGCTGAATCCTGGCTGTGATTCTGTCTTTCTCAGTTGAATAAGTTATGGCCTGCCTTTGTGTTTTTAATTTTCTTATATTATGAATAAACGGAAAGTAAGAAAACTGGCTGCATGGTACATGAGCCAACAGCATAAAATATTCATTATAAATCTCCAAGGGTTTTCTGAAAATGGTATTTTGTTTTCACACCTAGGATGATGCTGGAGGCCGATTCGTCGCATTTTCAGGAGAAGGACAGTCATTGCGTAAAAAGGGAAGAAAACCCTAAGTTGGGGTTGCTGACTGATTGGAAAATAAAATAATCACTTGCAACATACTGCCTTTTGGTTACTGGCTCTGACGGGTAAGACAATTACCTAAGAACGCTGTGTTAAGGTTTGTTTAGAGTTGCCTACAATTCTCGAGTTGGACCTGGAGTACACCTGCCAGACTTTGTAGTTTTGTGTTTGGTTTTAGGAAAGAGAAGCTGTCTCTGAGTTTCAGTAGTGGTTCCCCACCTCAGCCACTCTGCTCAGTCCTTTTCGGGGTTTCCAGTGGCTCAGAACAGAATTCCCTCGTCCCTGATAAAACCTATGGAGAGAATACCTTGTCTAACCTGAGGTGGCCCTTTCTGGTTTTTTACTTAGCTTTTTTTGTTTATTCCAGGTCAGTTGTCTGAGTCATTGCCTTTGGCCTAGAAAATTCACTCCTCTGGCTGTAATTTTCAGTATTTTGAGAAAGGGTGTTTCTAATTTATTTTTTTTTAAGTACTATTCCTCAGAAGGAAAACTTAATTTGAACATGTTGCCCACTTTTATTTTGGTGTCATTTGTAAGTAACTGTGGCTCCTGATTGAACCTGTTGTATATCTAGTAAAACAACTTCAAGTGGAAGCACAAATGTGAATTATTAGAATAAATAAATGCTAAAGATAAGCTCTTCTCTCTTCTACCAACTCTCTCCCCCCTTCAATTTTACTGTATTAAATTATCCACAGTTCTGTTGGTCTGCCTTTATTTCTGTTTAGTATTCATTTGGCCTGAGAGCTACTTTATTAAAACATGAGGTCTTTTGGCACTCTAGTTCAATTGCTTTAATGTCTTCTATTCTTTGAAAACAATTCAAAAGCAAGAATTTCAAATAAAAACAGTCAATGACTAAGCTCTGGACTGCCTCTCAGTATTTGCTTAAGTAACAATAACATGGATAGGTTACCACTGACAAGGAAGGAATATGGTCTGCTTACAGGTGTCCCACTTTCCATCCCACTATGAGAGAATTGGCCCTCTGGGGGTTTTCCTGGAGAAATGAGCATCTCTGACCCCTGGAATAGGGATGGTGAGGCCCAGAGAGGTCCTGCTTATAGGCGGAAGTCTTTGGACATGGTTTCAACAACACTCAGAAGAGAAAAAGATGAGGCTTCAGATTCTACCTAGGGTTCCCCAGAGCAAACTTGTATTAACAAATGTCAATAATCAGGGCTTGACCCTATGCCCAAACTGTCTCCACAGTGGAGCAGGAGTAGGGGACAAATGACCACACCTATCTTACCCTTCATTAAGGGGACTTCAGTTTCCCTAGCAGAAGTGGGCACCCTCTATGGCAGGGTCAGCTAACAAATGGTAACTCAGTACATAATGAAGAATGTTACAATAAGCTCTGGCCCTGAATGTTTTTCATCTGAAAACCACAAGGTCAGTGGTTCGAATCCACCAGCCACTTCACTGTAGAAAGATGAGGCTTTCTGCTCCAAAGACGATTGAAAGCCTCGAAACCTCTATATAGGGTTGCCACAAGTTGGAGCCAACAACAAGCAATACACAAGTATTGTGTATGCAGATGTGTAGTTCCACCTGCTCTTTGATGGCAGTGTGGAGAACACGCCCCTGCCTGGGTCAGTGCATAAACTCAGTTGTTGGGCCTTCTGGTGAAAGCATTAAAGATATTCATAGTGAGGTCACCTGGAGCAGAAGTCATGGTCTGTAGACTCTGTAGACAGTACCACTCCAACTGTGGCCAATGGACCAGTCACCTCAACGGAAGGGCCTCTAGTAAAACTAGCCTTCTGGACCCCCTCTCCAGTTAGCCTGACCTAGTCTCACTAGATGAGGATCTACAACTTCACTGGGATTCTATCTTCAGAAAATAGTTGCAGCATCCAGATAGAAGGCATTGGAGGAAGTTGGTGTGGACTTATTGGCTGCTACTTTATTTTGCCTTTATTGCTTCCTTACCTGTTTGTAAACATTTCTCTCCATGCCCTCAAAACAGCTATGTTCTTAGCAGACACACAAGCCCCCTCTCCCATTTCATGCTCCTGCCAGACACAACAGTCTCCCTGTCTTTGACCAGACGGTTGCATCCCTCCGTAAGATCATTCGATGTCCTGCATCCCCCACCCTCACCCCATACTATCCTGATTCAACTCGTTATTTTATGAGTTCATCTGCGTCTCTTGTGTGGTTGTGCAGGGCGAGACCACTACTATTTCAGGACCTGGCATGAAGTTGCTACTCAGTGTGTGCTTAGGAAAATTAACTAGACCTTTGAGATGGACGAAAATAATGAAGCTGTAAAAAGTAACTGGTCTGAACCGGGTGGCTTCATAAACAGCCAACTTAGCGTGGCTGGCTGTGCTACCCAGCTCCGTAGGCTGTAGTATCAGGGAAACTCAGAATCTCTACTCTTCTGAACTCCAACCGCACACTCGCTCACGGCCCCAAAGTTTATTGGCTGCCCAATCCGGACTTCTGTTAAGGAGGTGGACGAGTCAGAACCACTGTATCTGGAAACTCATTGGTTCTTTTCTTTGTCCGTCGCGCGACTTCCGGCTTTCTTTCATATCCATTGGCTGTCGGACTGAGGAGGCGAGTTTGGTGGACTTCATAGATATGTCTGAAGATAATAGCTGGCAGGTAAGTGTGTTTGGTATCTTAGGTCCACAGCGGTCTCGTGGGCCCAGGGGACCACCGGAACCGGGCCCTCGCGGGATGGGGACGCGCTTCCGGTCCCGCTCAGGCCCCGCTTGTCATCTCAGCCTCCGCGGCCCTGCGAGGCCTACCGCGCCGAATGGAAACTATGCTGCAGCGCCCGGCACCGCCTGCACTATTACTACGTCCATGGCGAGCGACCGGCTTGCGAGCAGTGGCGCCGCGACCTGGTCAACTGCCGCGACTGGGAGGAGCGCCGGAGCGCCGAGGCCCAGGTGCGCCCGGGGTTCGGATGAGAACGGCTGGCCAGTAGGGTCACGTCGCTGGAACCCGGTGGGCATGAATATATCTATCTGCATTCTCCATGTCCTTCCCTCTTCCCAGGCCCAGGAACCCCGTGGGGAGGAGGTCTAGGGGATCCATCCTCTCCTTGAACTTCCTTCCATGTGAGAAATACCAAGAGTAGATATCCCAACTTCCAGATGGCGTTTAAGGACAATGAAGGAGACTTGCTTGGAGGGGTTGTACAGCGGCGTGGAGAGGGAGTAGGGGACGCCTACAAGTGTTCGGGGTGTCAGCTAGCTGGGCATTGGAGGGAGTACTGTTGTTTGAGCCCTAAATTACTCAGGGCAGCCTTCACCACTGATCTTGCAGTTAGCAGCCCAGAGAAAGATGAGGTTGCCTACTTTAATGCCTGCTTTCATAAAGATTTACAGTCACGGAAACCTTATGGGGCATTTCTGCTGTGTCCTACAGGGCCTCTATGAGTCAAAATAGACTGAACAGCAGTGGGTTTAGCCATCACACAACCCTAGATGACATGACTAAGGGACAGAAAGGAGGCCGTAGTGCCTGGAAGCAGGGAGAGGGTGGGCAGCAGAGGAAGAGGATGAGGTTGGAAAGCTACCAGGAGCTAATGAGCCTGAAGAAGGAGTTTAGATTCCATTCTGAAAGTGTGCTGGGAAGCATGCTTGGTTTGATTTCTATCTTTAAAAATCCCTTTGCCTGCCAAGGTGTGGAGAGAATGGAGGGGCAGGGATACCAGTGAGAAGGTGGGTTTAGCTGTCCATTCATTCAGCTGGTAAGTATCACTTACTAACCTCATGATGGGTGTTCTTGGGGTGACGGGAGTGAAGAGAACAGCCCTTGTCCTCCTGGCATCCTCACTCTAGCAGGTGCCTCGGGCCTGCGTGGGAGTGTGGCTGGAGAGAACCAGTGAGGGTACAAACCTGGTAGGGAGTGCCCAGGGGAAGGGGAATCAGCAGAACTTCAGCAACTTCAGTTCTATTCATTCGTGTATGTAATCATTTTGGAACAGACTTGCAAATGTGGAAACCAGGATGCTGTTTTTCATTCTATCTGAGACAAGAATGCTTAGGGAAGAGAGGGCAAAGAGGCATGCGGAAAAGATGAACGTGTAACAACATAGTGCCCACCCTTGTGTGCTGACACTGCCCATGTGCTTGGTTCTTGAAAGGGTTGCTCAGAATGGGATCAAACTCTAGCAGTGTGTTGGGATAGAGACAGGTTCCCGTGTGAAGAGTGGAGCCTGTTGCATGACTGCTTCCTCAATCTTCCAAGGAACCCTGGCAATGTGTGTCTTACCTCATCTTCCTTCAGACCACTGTTCCTCCCCACAGATTCCCATAGTCACTCTTTTCAGAAGTTTGTGTCTTCTCAGGTCAGCATCTCCAGTCTCCAGCTTAGCCTCTGACTCTTTAGGCAAACAGGAGCCAGAAAGCCTTGAGGCCCATAAGAGGTTCTCAAGTCCATATAAATGATGATGACTTACATATCAATTTTTCACAGTAACTTTGTGAAAAAGAATGGTCTAGATCTATGTGCGCTAATATGGAACTTTTGCCAAGATGGTTACGGGAAGCAACCAAGTTGCAGAACACTGTGTATTCTGTGCTCTTGTTTCTTTGCCTGTGTGTGGGATACTAGGAGGAGGGGCTATCGGGGGCATGTGTGAACACTTAGGGCCACCAAGGTCCTGCCACGAGGCGAAAGTGTGACTGGGGCGTCTCATTTGTATAGCGATCCCTCTGTGAGAGTGAACGGGCTCGAGTCCAGGCTACACGGAAGCACACCCTGGTGTGGGTGCTGAGACAGAGCCCCCCTGCAGACTGGCACCTCCCTCTGGCCCAGGACAACTGAGGAGCTCCCTTGCCTGCCTGAATGCTGCCTCTGCTGCTGCTTCTGGTTCCTTTAGCAGGACTGTGACCTCCATGTGGTAGTGGGTCCCTGGGAGCTCCACCTAACCTGTAACATGGAGCATGACGTCTCCAGCCCCACCTGTTCCAGCCCTCACCTGCATCTAGGGGGCCTCACTGCATGACACTTTCAGAGACTGGAGCACCCCTTCCAGAGAGTCTGGACAGGCAAACAGTGTCTCACAGCCTGCCTGCAACAGCAGCCTGGGAGATGGCAGGCCTGGCATCTAGAATGCCCAGGAAACCCTTGACTTGTGTGGACATCTGGGCAGACCAAAATCAGGTAGCTACATTGTGCTGCTGCTGTGAATGTGATTGGTATTGTGATCTCCATATGATCCTTCAAAAACAGGCCACCACATCCTGGGCTTGAAGGAGCCCTGGTAGTGGATCACGAGCTGGGCTGCTAACCACAAGGTCAGCAGCTCGACTCTACCAGTATCTCTGAAGGAGAAAGATAAGGCTTTCTGCTCCTGTAAAGGTTTGTAGCTTTGGACACCTTATACAGTTGGAAATGACTCCAAATGCAACCATCTTCACCACCACACCCACCACATCCTGGGCTTAGTGACCCAGACATTGCTAGCCACTAGTCTGGGAAGCATGAAGCTCACGTTGTCGCCCCTCCTTCATTTCTCAGCTGATGTAGGTGGGTGTGGCTGGTGCCCAGGAGGTCGGTGGGATTTTGGGAAGGGCTTACCTATATCTCTGGGCCAGCTCTCCTCTCCTAAGCTCAGAGCTAGACCCCTTGGAGGAGATGCTGGTTTTAAAACAAGGTACACAGCCTCACAACACACAGCTTCACATAAAATGGCTTTTGGATTGTTGGCTTCAAAAACATGGAATCTAGATTATCTTGCCCCCCAAATTTCTCCTAGTCTGTTTTTGAAAATGTAGACTGTATTAAGAGCTGTTTCACACATTTGATTCCAATTAGAGGCTGAAAATTAAATCCACATGTTGTGCTTGGGACTGTATAAAAAATGTTGCATGCTTACACTTTTGTAGATGTTTATAAAAGATGTTTTTGAACAACAAAATAAAATTTCTAAGAATAAAAGCAAACCATGCAGTGACATAAGTGAAATAAATACATGTAAGAATTCAATAAAGGAAATATAAAATTGTGTTCAATAAAACAAGAGAAGGCTTAAGTACATGGGAAAATGTGTAAAAATATAGCACTACAAGGAGGCTACAAAAAGGTCATGGAAAAATCCATTGTCTGAATTCCATTTTTCCATGACCTTTTTGAAGCCACCTTGTATGTATATGAGCCAACAAGAAGTCCTGTTTGGTAGTGATTTTGCAGTGTGCTGTCCTTGCTCTGTTCCTTGTCAGCATGACCCACTGTTGCTGCTTGTCTCCCTTGAGGCTGGGCTCTGTCCAGGTCACTTTAGGCAGGTCAAACACTCTCTCATTTCATTCTTTGGGTCAAAATAATCCCAACTTTTAAAAACGGGCCCACATCAATGGAAGAATGAAATTTTTCTTCATCTTCGGTGTTTTCTGTACACCTCCAGGATTATTCCCTATGTCTAAACAAACCAACTTGACATTTAACAAGAAGCATGATGGATGGGGATGGCGATGGTAGGATTTGTGCTCATATTTCAAGAGCTGAAAAACAAAACAAAACAAAACAAAAAAACCTACTGCCATTGAGTTGATTCTGACTCATAGTGAACCCTATACAGGGTTCCCAAGATTGTAAATCTATGGGAACAGACAACCTTATCTTTCTTCTACAGAACTGCCCATGGGCTTGAACTGCCAACCTTGCAATTAGCCCAACACTTACCTTCAGTGCCACCAGTAATTGTTAAATACTGTCAAGTTGGTTCTGACTCACAGCAACCCTGTGTAGGGTTTCCAAGGAGCATCTGGTGAGTTTGAACCACAACCTTGTGGTTAGCAATTCAGTGCTTATCCAACAGCACCACACTAATGCCACCAGCAGAAGCCAGTATAAAGAAGAGCCAGGCCTGTGTCCCCACATCATGGGGTTGTTGTTAAATGCCGTGTAGTCAGTTCCAACTCAGCAACCCTGTATAAGGTGTCCGAGGAGTGGCTGGTGAGCTTGAAACGCCAACTTTGCGTTTCAGACTGATCTTGCAGTCCATCACATTAACCTGCAGCGCCACATCTGGACTCCGAGGGAAGTCCTTATTTGCTAAGCCAGAGGTGGGTAATCTTTTTTCTGCCAAAATTTATTAACATCATTTGTGGGTCACTCAAAATTATCAACTTAAAAATAAGCTTCTTATATTTGGCTAAACATTCGATTAACTCACCCCAAATGTTTGCTGGAGTCCTGGTGTGCTACAGCAGGTTAATGCACTGAACTGCAGTCAGTTTAAACCACAGGGTCAGTGGTTCAAGTTCACCTGCCGCCCCTTTGAAACCCTTATACGGGGTCACTATGAGCCAAAGCTGACTTGATGGCACTTAACAACAATGTGATGGCTAGAACTGCAGTTGCCTTGGCAGGGCCAGACCAAATGATTTAATGAACATTATGCACACCGAGGGCCAGACATTCCCTCCCCCTGTTCTAAGGCAACCATAGGCTCTCCGTCTTCTGTAGAGTCGAGCCTAGTTTAAGAAGGAGCATTCTTGGCCTGACTTCTGGACTATATTAATGCGTTTCCAGGTACTGATCCTATATAGATCTGTGGAAGGTGTGAATGTTGGAGGTGATTGGAGATATGGTACACAGGACCTCTGTACATTTCTGTGTGGACTTTTATTTCAAAATAGAGTTCAAAATAAACTCCTGGGAATGATCTGCTGAAATAGTTCAACTATGTAATGGACAAAAAGCACTTCTGTCAGTTGCCGATAGCAGGCAGTATCTTACGCAAGGAAATCGGAGAAAGCCTCAGCCTCTGAACCCAGACCTGTAAGAGGAGACAAGGCAAAGAGGCTGAGCAACAAGGTGCACCCATGGGCAGGGGCCACCAGTACTTGGAAGCTGGGATTAGGTATGTGGACTCAGTTCTTCCAGGTCTTGGGCTGGGGTGTGAAGAATGTCCTGAAGGAGGGGCAGAGCAGTAGGCAGGCTACTGCAGACTTAGAATCCTTGGGAAAATTTTTTTATTCAGGACTGGTAAGTTTTTAAAACAAAAGTGAACCTTTACCCAGTCAGGGTGCTGCCCTTCGGACACCTCCCCTTCCTTCATAAGTGTATCCCTAGCTTACTCCACCCTCTCCAGATCAATTCCAAAGTGGCTCTGTTGACAACATGCCTCTCTGTGTCCTCATCTGTTGCCCTGCACCCCTGGTCAATTGACAAAGCCCTATGGCTCCTTTACCTCCACATGCATAAGCTATATGGAAAAGTATAAATTGTATACTTCGTGTCTCCCACCAATGGGGTTTTATCACACAACTGTAAGTTTCCCTGTCCTTCACTTAGGGACTGCTAACTGAAAGGTGAGTGGTTCATTCAGACACACCAGCTGCTGGTTGGGGGTCATCTGCTCTCAGGAACCCTATAGAGGGTCGCTGTGCATTGGAATTGACCCAATGATGGTGGGTTTTATTTTTTCTCCACTTGAGGGGAGTGGCCAAGGTCTTAGTCCTCTTCCTAGTACCTGGCCAAGAAGTAAGCACCTCTCACCTCCAAGGATCCTCAGGTGAATTCTTTTGGATTCTAATAGCAGACACAGACGCTTGGGCGTAAACTTGTATTTATTAACAGTACAATGCCTTCTGTGAAAAGCAGACTTGAGCCCCCTTAGTCACTGTGGCTCTCCGGGTCAGCATGCCCTGCCCTCTATCTCTTGAATTCCACCTGGGTGTAGATCTTGGTGACATCATTATACTTGCCTTCAGGGGGCTGATAATTAGGAACTGGGGGTGTGTGATGCGGCCCTTCCCTCTCAAAGGGGAACAGGCTGGGGTCCCGCTTGATGGCTTCAGCGTGGAGCTCTGGGGATGTGAGGTGCAGCTCCTGGAGAGCTTCCTGCTGGGCCTCAAGCAGGGACCGGATGGCGTCCCTCTCCAGCTCATGCTCCCGCTGCCTGTACAGGGACCACTTCTTCAGAAGCAGTGCTCGCCGCTCAGCCTCCTCAAAGGGGAGCTCCACCTGAGGCCGCTGTCTGTGGACACACAAGTTCAAGAGGTGATGCTGGCAAGCCTGGGGCTGGCTTGCAGGAGTGTCTGTGCCTGTGCATGTAACTCGGGCATTCCCACTAGTGCAGACAAGGCCCTTGGGGGAACAAAAGAGATATTTGGGACACACTGAGGAATGAAACGTTGCATGTGGCAGCAGTTGTGACTGACACTGGGAAGCTCAAGTGAATTCATTCTGATTCTAACCGAAGACCGAGAGCTATTCGCTTTAGGTGGAGACCAGAAACAGTGATGCCATGAGAGATGATGGCAGGCCTTCCTCTACCCCAGGCAAAGATGGCCTTTAGAGAAAAGTAAAATGCTATTCTATAAGATAAGGAGTCCTGGTGGCACTGTGGGAGAAGCACTGGACAAGATTGGCGGTTTAAACCCACCAGCTGCTCCTTGAGAAATATGAGCTTCGGGAACCCTGTATATGAATCTCCATCGACTTGATGGCAATGGGTTTGCCTTTGGGTTTATTAAGAAGATGAATGTCGGGGACGACATATGCAAGCACTGAGAAGCTGTGGTCCTGTGACAAGATGGATGAAAATCCAATCCCGGGGCCCCTCCTCAGGATTGCAAGCCATGGACCCTGAGGGCCAAGAAAGTAACCCCCTGAAGTCCTGGGTTCATAGGATTTTGCGAACTCACTGGGCTACCTTTGTATAATTTTCTTTGGTCTTATTGTTCATTCTATGCTTCTAACTCCAATACTTGAAGCTTCTGAGAAAATGGTTTCTTATGTGCCTTTCTTAATGTCTCCACTGTGTTGACAGTGCGTAGGGTCCTGGGAACAAATCTTTTTGAGCAACAAGCAATAGCCACCTGGGATGCATGTCAGAACTGCATCTTGATATAAACCTGAAGCATGAGCTTTTGATGTCCATATACAACAATGGGACCAAAACCCCTCTAAAGCCGAGACAGTAAAAAGTCTCCTCAGAGGACTCAGAAAGGCCAGGAACAGGTATATTGGGAGTATGACAAAAAAGGTTTTTTACTCAAGGTTTCTAAATAAAGTAGATTGGTAAATTCTAGGAGTATTGATTAGAGGACAATAGGGCAGCCCCCTCAAACTGCCTCTGGGTATATAACCCAGATGCTCTCCTTCCTCCTGGAAGTATAGGGAAATGTGATATAGCATTTAGATGTAGAATCCCGAAAGAAAAGGAATGTGGAGGCGAGACCTCACCTTCTTAGAAAGGTTGAGACTCATCTCTCATCTACCCTAGAATTGTAAGAGTAAAGAAGAATTATTAGTTGATAAATGACGCTAGGTGTTTGAGATCATGCTCACAAACAAAAGCATGAGCTTTTGTTTGCAAAATATACAAAGACAGCTTGACTCCCTTCAAAAACCCTACTTTTAAGCCTTCTATGACCTTTTAAATCTTTTTCACCTTTACCCATTAGAGATAAAGTGCTAAAAATATCCCTGAGACAACTGTGATGTATATTTTAAAATTTGTTCCTGTGAATCATTGTGTCCTGGTTTGAATGATTAATCTTATCTGAATAATCACATCCTTCCTTTGTGAAAAATCCCTCCTTGAAAAAAGAAAATAAAAGACTGAGGTGAGTGAGTGCTGCATGCAATGCAAGGCAATACAATGTTTGCAGACCAGCCTGCCTTTCCACTTGCATCAAGTTTGTGTCTGTCTTCTTTGTGTCTTTTTTCTTTCTCTTTTGCTGCCAGATCTCCCTACTTCATGCAACCACTCTTCTGTCGAGGCGGGACCCCAACAAATGAACAGCAAAATTCCAGGGAGTCAAGTAAGCCTGGCATGTCACAAAGAGCACCTGACACCTTCCACAGACACGACCAAGTGCTACTTTATAAATGGTATGCATTTCCTACATGGAAGTAGCAAGCACAAGATCCAAGAACTGCTAGCCCTGCATACAGCACAAGCCCACCAGATTCTTAATTGGGAGCATTTGCATTAGAAGGCTAGAGGCGAAAGGCCTTCTACCATCATGAGGGGTGTGGTACCTTGAATTTACTTGCTATAGCTTTTCTATCCAAAGTCTTAATTCCCACCAAGTGATTAGGTGGGACCATGCAAACAAGGTGTACAGGACTCTAAGGCTGGGATTGGTTAGTTTTGCCACCCAGCTAGGTTTAAAGGAGCCATCTCAGAAGTAGGAACAGATGACCCCAGGGCTATTAAGTAGAAAGAGCATAAGAGTGGAACATGAGATTGTAAGGACCAAACTGATTTTACCTACCTAGAGACTGCTTGACTAAACTCTAGTCAGGCTCAGGAAAGCATTTTAAATAGACAAGGCCTCAGTTTTTAGTTCCCTCCAGAGACAAGGTCAATCTCCATTCTGTACATTAGCCTGAACACGTCCTCTAGCTCCAACAAAATGATATATGTATAAATAGCCAGGCAGCTCAAGGCCAGGGGCCAGATGTTTTCCTTTACCCTAGCCTAAGAACAAAGACCACCAGTCCTGACCAATTAAACTGTAACATCTTACAGTTTGCCAATTGTTAACCAATCCAAAGATTGTAAAGCTGAGAAACCTGAGCTGTTTGAAAACTCTATAAAAACCCTGCAGACAATGAATTTGGGGCTCTTTCCCTATTCCGAAATGTCGGATAAGGTTAGAGACCTGGCTCGAGCTTGATTAAACAACCCTTATGTATTTGCATTGGTACACGGCTCCTGGGTGGTCTTTGGGGACCCCAAATTCTGGGCATAACAAGATCCCTACCTAGAAAAACAGGGTTAGTAGAGATCGTTACACAGACAGACAGAGCAGCTGTGGGCTCTAGGCCAACTTACTGAGTAAAGGTGAGTGTCTAAACACAGGAAACTGACTGTGCCCTTTAGGCTAAAAAAGCTTTGTAACATTTGCCAGAGCAGGACAGAAGCTAAGAGGCCAAAGGCTGAAAGCTAGAGAGTAAGGAGTGTCTCAGTGCAGCAAAGAAGCAGCATTCCTGATAGGGAAACTGCTGCATCCTGAGTTGGTTTTGATCGTGAATTGTAACCTATTCACTTCCCTAATAAACCCCATAATTGTGGGTGGTATTATGAGTTCTGTATGGCCACTGCAATGGATTATCAAAGCCAGATGTGAAGCAGAGAGTGCTGTGGGAGGGAAGGTTGGTGTTAAGAATAGGGCAAAGAAGATTGTAGGGTGGAGGCATATCTGACTTCCACTTCACAGGAATCCACCTTGGGCTGATTTTGAGTTTGATTCTCCATCCTCTTGTGAAGCCAGAGGAAATCAGACAAAGTCCCACAACATGGTGTTTGCAGTAGACAAGGGCTGCAAAATCAAGACAGCAGTACTGCTTAAGTCAGCCATCAAGATTCCCCATGCCAGAAAGTAGCATGCACCTTAGAACAATGCAGAAATGGAGTCGCCCACATCATGTGACCTGGACTTATCATAAAACAATTATCTGTGCTTCCTTCTTTCCCGCCTTCAGCCGTTCAAGAGCACCAACTAGCAACACTCCTAAAAGTAGAACAATAGGGCTCAGGTAAGGGCCATGTCAGCCCAAGCCTCTAGACCTTTTCCCATCACTGGCTTAAACTAATGCCAGAACTACTTGGAGTCCGTAGAATTCCTCTGCCTGGAGGGCCTGAACCCTAGAGGAGAATCCTTACCTGGCTTTATCTAAAAACTTCACGGGCGTAATAAAATCTTCAATGGGAATTAGCTCTTGGCTAGCTTTTTCCAGTCGTCGGATCCTCTTCTTTAAACGATCCTTGGCTGCTTGGTCTTTTTTAGGGTCTATCTTCTTCTTCTTTCGAAGAGGTTCTGCTCTAATACATAAAGCGTATGTTAAAATATTTTCCTTCTCAGTCACATGAACACACTGAGAGACACCATAGTCTATGAACTGCCCCCTAGCTGGTACTGAGCTCTTCACTAGAGGGAGGAGCTGGGAATGGGGAGGAGGTGACAAACAATGCAGCTGATTACTTCCACTCTAGAGCTCTTGTGAAAACTGTGTGAGCAAGTACTGTCAAAGTCAGGGAAGACATGGAAACTTTCATGTCCAGTAAAAGGGGGCTTCAAAAAGTTCATGGAAAAATTCCATTTTTTTTTAAATTGACAGTTGGGGGATTACAAAGCAGATCAGTTGTCCATTCAGCAATACACACACATTTTGTTTCATGTCATTGATTGTCATCTCCACAATGTAACCACCACTCATCCCACTTCCTCCCCTTGTTTCCAATACCTTTTAGTTTCATTCCCCACTTCCCATCTTAGTATCAATGAGATGAAGTGCTAAAGTAGGGTGCTAAAGTAGGGGTGTGCCTTGTGATTGCACTGAAAAGTGGAAAAAGAACAAACTGAATTATCAGCTTATTGTTCACATTTTAAGTGGATTTGTGACTTGTAAAAAAAATGCTTTAACTGGCATGTAGTAGACACTACCCTTAGTTATTTTTGGGGTTTTCATAACAAATGTCCCCCTCCTAGAACACTGTCAAAACTCTGATTCAATCTTCTTAGAAACTCATCTCCCAGGGTCATAATTTACTCTGCAAAATAATCAAGTCCTTTAGCTTCAAGTCTGAGTTTCAGTGAGTCAAGGCCCCACAAAGTATCCAGAGCCTCAGGGGGAGAGACCTTTAATACTAGCACCTTTCCATTCCCTCATCACGGTGTGAGAATGGGCAGGAAACAGGATGCTCCTGGAGAAACACAACTTCATGCTGCATCTTTCAAAACACACAATCTCTTAATAACGAATTAATAATACGGATTAGTCTTGTTTTGTTCATAATGAGCCCTAGTGGCACGGTAGGTTAAACACCTGGCAGCTAACTAAGGTCAGCTGTTCCAAAGTCAGCTGTCTGCTTGAAGGAAGAAAACTGAGGCTCCAAACCTCCTTTGAAGCCCTGTGGGACAGTTCTAGTATGACCTATAGGCTCACTAGGGGTCTGGACTCTGCAATGACCTACAGGTGCACATCATCAACCAAGGGCCCTCCCCCAACAGGTTGCCTTTACCTCATTGGAATAAGTTCCATGAAGGACAACAAAGATGCTCGCTGGTGGGTGTCTCTAACCTGAGTCTGCCGAATCCCCAAAAGCCTGAAAGGTACAAGCCAAAAACAAAGTTGTCACCAAGATAATTGGGATTCATGGCGACCCCATGTTGTTGGCAGGGTAGCACTGTGCTCCAGAGTTTTCACCGGCTGCTTTTTAAACAAATATATCATTCTACCCCACCAATAGGAAAAGAGGGAGGAGCAAAAACAATAGTTACGATGTCCCCCAGTCCTGGGGCATATGAATGTACTGAATGTAACAGTAAATTCAATGTGGGAGATCTTACAACATTCCCCGTTCATAGCAGAGTACTTGAGCAGGAACGTCCCATCTACTCGCCATAGTATTCGTTAGTCACCCATTGGATGAGGCACGATCAGCTAACTAGCTCGTCTCTGACAAATCGTATTTGGGGGCTTCCAGTCTGGGCTGGGAATGCGACGAGACCCTGGCAAGAACGGAGACCCTTGCGCGCCTCGAGTGCCACACAATCCGACAGGCGTTCGCACTCACCAGTTTAGCGGGCTGAGAGTGCGCACGGCCGAACGCAGAGCCACAGCAGCCATGGCTCCTCCAGCCGCCAACGGGCCGCTTCCGGGCGCTCGCCCTTCGTCTGTCCGACCCCGCGGTGTACCGCACAGTGATCCGGTCTGCGCGCAGCACAGGGTTTTCGCGTTCCGTCCGCGGTGGGATGGACAGCTTCTAGCCTCTCCCCCGACGTAGCCCCGCCCCCGGCGTCCCGGCGGCGTGCCGACACGCCCTGAGCGCCTAGCACCTCGAGCTGAGCAGTGTTTATCCTCTGTCTCCGCCAGCAGAGGCCGGCCAGCAGCGGGTCCTCTATCTGGCTTATCTTCACCCTGCGAGGGCCTGAGCTCCGCAGATCGGCCCAAGCGTCCTCGGGGGTCCTTTGGGTCCTCCAAGCTCAACTGTCCACCTTTATGAAAATGGTCCCGGTCTTCCAATAAACGCGCCCGCCTCGGCTTTCTCCGGGCTTTGAGGAAGGCTCGTTCCCCTCGCATCCGTCCGAGCACAGGGCCGTGGGTGTGTCCTGGCGCCGGCCCGGGGCCAGGCTTGTGCAAGGCTCCCGACACGCAGGACAGCAACTAGTTTATAAGCCGGAGTGGGAACCAGAGAGTCCGAGCTGGTGACAGGCCGGCCACACCACGCCGGCATCGCCAGCAAGGCTGCATCTCAAGCCCGGCGCGCGCTTCGCGCTCCCCGCCGGCCCGCCCCTTAGCGGCGGCCGCGCCCGGAGCCGCCCCAGCCCGCGGGAGAGCCGGGCGGCCGCGTCCGATTGGGGAACGGTTTCCCGCCGGGGCGCTTTGGCAGGTGCGCGCCGTGACTTCCGGCGTTGCCCGGGAGCCGCCGGAGGAGGAGC